CCCCCCCCCCCCTTCCCCCGATACTTCATCCCTTTTCTCAATCCACCCTCAAATTCTGAAGCCATTTGAAGCTAACCAGTCTACGTCTCAAACCACCCGCGGGGTCTGGTTTGGGTTTCGTGTGTTACATGTTTACAGCTGAGAACCAGTGGCTCCACCTTTCTCTGATCACCGATCTCAAGAAGGCCTGCAAGGAGGTCTTCCCTGTCGCTGAATACGCCTACACCACCATCCCCACCTACCCCTCCGGCCAGATTGGCTTCATGGTCTGCTGCAAGGATGCTACCCGCAACGTCAAGGAGCCCGTCCGCTCTTGGACCCGCGAAGAGGAGGAGCGCCTCTGCCGCTACTACAACCAGGACATTCACCGTGCCAGCTTCGTCCTGCCCAACTTCGCTCGCAAGGCTCTAAACTAGACCCCTTAAACTTTTGTGTTATTCTTCTCTTGTTTTGGGATCTGGCCTCCGCACCTAGGGCGGCTGATAATCGATGATGATCTGACGATGATGAATATAACAGAGGGTTTCTCTTTAAGATTTGTATTCTCAAGTCTCATGATGTCACAGTGTCTCGGGACTAGTCGTAGCAATATCGCATTGGATGCGTTAAGAGCTTCTGTCACACCCGGTGGGCATATCTACTTCAGGCTATCGACCTTAGGTGAGTGCTGCTACCATAGAATCATTAATTAACCAGAAAAAAATCGTTGCATTTTATCTTCTTAAACGACAATCGTTAAATAGGACTTCTCCTGCGGGGACGTCCAGCCCCGAGGGTCAATATCGTCCATGAGAACCATAAACATAAACTATAGGCAACAAGTCATCACGTCGCTAAAACAAGACGTCTACAGGATCTGCTGGAAAGCACGGTTGATGGGGGAGCGCACGTTGTGGCCCTTGTAGAAGTCAATGGTGGCGATGGCGCGCTTGCTGATGCCCTCAGGAGTGAACTCGAATTTCTGCAATCGATTAGTATTAATCTTCTTCGTTTGAGCAGGGATATAAGAAGCAAGGGGAATCTTACGGCGTAGACCTCCTTGTAAGGACCAGAAGCACCGAAGCGGTTGAGACCGAACTGCTCGTGAGAGTAGCGCTCCCAGCCCATGGTAGAAAGAGCCTCGACGGAGAGGACGGGAATGCCATCAGGGAGAACCTGGAGCTTGTAGGCCTTGTCCTGGGCATCGAAAACCTCGAAACAAGGGACGGAGACGACACGGGCAGCAATGCCGTGCTTCTCCTTGAGGTAGGTGGCAGCCTCGATACAGATGCTGACCTCGGAACCGGTGGAAATGATGGTGACGGCAGCGTTGGGAGCGTCGACGGCAACGTAGGCACCCTTGAGAGCGTTCTCAATGGTGGAGTTCTCCAGGTGGGGCAGGTTCTGGCGGGTGAGAGCCAGAATGCTGGGGGTGTGCTTGGCGGTCAGGGCAGAGTAGTAGGCAGCGCTGGTCTCGTTACCATCGGCCGGGCGCCAGACCATACAGTTGGGCAGAGCACGGAAATGGGCAAGAGTCTCGATGGGCTGGTGAGTGGGACCATCCTCACCGAGGCCAATGGAATCGTGGGTAGCGACGTGGATGGCGCGAACGCGAGAGAGGGCAGAAAGACGGACGGCACCAGCGGCGTAGGAGACAAAGTTCAGAAAAGTACCACCGGCGGGGATGACGGTGCCGTAGGCGGCGAGACCGTTCATGACAGCAGCCATGGCGTGCTCACGGACACCGTAGCGGAGGTAACGACCAGACCAGTCACCAATATTGTACTCAGGGGGCTGGAAATCGACAGCGTTCTTCCAGCGGGTGTTGTTAGAGCCAGTCAAGTCGGCAGAGCCAGACAGGAGCTCGGGAACAACGTCGTGAATCTTCTCAAGGACAGCCTCAGAGAGCTTACGGGTAGCCACGGCAGGGTCGGAGGGCTTGTAGGTGGGGAGGCTCTTCTCCCAGCCCTCGGCAAGCTTGCCAGACAGGCGGCGGGTGAGCTCGGCGTGCTCGGACTTGTACTCGGAAGCATACTTCTCAAAGAGCTGGTTCCACTCCTGCTCCTTGGCGGCACCCTCAGCGGCGTGCTTGTGGTAAAGGTCATAGACCTCCTGGGGGACGACGAAGCTCTGCTTGGGGTCAAAGCCGAAACGCTGCTTGACACTCTCAATGTCGTCGGCCTTCAAGGGGTTACCGTGAACACCACCGGTACCCTGAAGCTTGGAGCCGAAACCAATAGTGGTGGTCAGACGGATCATGGAAGGCTTGTCGGTGACGCTCTGAGCCTCACGGATGGCGGCCTCGATGGCCTCGAGGTCGTTGTCACCGTCCTTGACCCAGACGGTGTGCCAGCCGTAAGCCTCGAAACGCTTGGTGACGTCCTCGGTGAAGGCGCACTTAGTATCACCATCTAATGACATGGACGTTAGTGACTAGTCGATGAGGACGGATCGTTGGATAATCAGGGTCTAGGAGAACTCTTACCGATGGAAATGTGGTTGTCATCGTAAATAGCGATCAGGTTACCAAGCTTCAAGTGACCAGCCATCGAGGCAGCCTCGCTAGCAATACCCTCCATAGCACAGCCATCACCGAAGAAGCAGTAGGTGTGGTTGTTGAACAGCTCGTAGCCGGGCTTGTTGAAGACACCAGCAGAGTGCTTCTGGGCAATAGCCAAACCAACAGCGTTGGCGAAACCCTGACCAAGAGGGCCGGTGGTGACCTCGACACCGGGGGTGTCGTGGGCCTCGGGATGTCCGGGGGTGATGCTGTCGAGTTGCTGTTTAAAATACATGGTTAGGATGGCTATATTCTTCGTTGCTTGAGCTGTGGGGGAAACTTACTCTGAAGTTCTTCAAGTCATCCAGAGACAGCTTGTAGCCGAACAAGTGAAGAAGAGCATATTGAAGCATGCAGCCGTGGCCGTTGCTGTTTGCAATGTGTCAGTCTGAAAGCTTAGGGGACTAGGGGGGCGCTCTGCACGCCTTGTGAGGCTTACGAGAGAACAAAGCGATCACGGTTGGGGAAGTCGGGGTTTTTGGGGTTGAAGGTCATGAACTTGTTGAAGAGAACGTGAGACACGGGGGCCATGCCCATGGGGGCACCGGGGTGACCGGAGTTGGCCTTGAAGGTGGCATCAACCTATAACGGGGTCAGCTGCTTGCTCGACAAGAGATGCCTTAGGAAGGCTCGTTGCGCTGCTTCAACAGGTAGCCCGGCTGGGTCGCTCCTAAGGCAGTGTATCGTCAGGGAGGGGGAAATGCCTACCGCCAACAGACGGATGGTGTTGATAGCCAATTGATCCAATTGACCGTAGCCCATGATTGCGATATCTGTTGATTGAGGAAGATTAGCAAGAGAATTAGGGATATTGTGGGTGAGATTGTTTTCTGGCAGTGAGGGGAAGCGCGTACTAAATTAAACTCTTTTTATATGATGTAGGATATTCTTTTATTGTGAAGATGATCAAACCAACGATCAAAGAAGGTAGGATCAACGCTGGATGGGAGAGAGAGAGAGAGGAGAAACACGGAGAGAGAAGAAGTCAAAAGGAGAGGGAGGAAGAAAAGAAGAATAAGATGAAGAGATTGGGGAAAAGGGAAAGCGAGAGGAGGGGCGGCGTGGGATGGAGGAACAACGCCCGGCCGGGCATGGAGGGACTGACTGGGTGAGGTTTGGAGAGGGGGAGGAGCAGATCGAACTGGGAAGGTGGGGGGCAAATGATGTCTGTAGTGGGGCCAATTCTCACCGGCTGCTCTGGAAGGAGGGGAAAAACCTCATCAATATGATGATAGTACGACCTGTAGGATTACTGACTATTACTGAACTCTTGATAATTCTCCGGTCTACAATGCCATACAATAGCAGCAGGTGGAGCTACAGTACTACAATTGAGTAGTACTTGGGACAAGATGCAGCTGTGGATGTTGGAAGACACCATTTTTTTCCCATATCGATGACGTTGGGGTGAGGAGCAGCAGCAACAGCAGAATGATGCATTCACCCATCCATTATCCATGCCCACCATTTATATGCCTCAGGCATTCCAAACCAGGTCCAAAGCCGAACAGCAACGCATCTGCTATGACTTTGCTCTTTGAACTGACACATAACTTGTACAAGCTTGGACTCCTGTTACAACTACTATGCATGATAGGTGATTGTTCTCCAGCAGCAAGCTAACAACGGGAAGCTATATGCTGATCCCTCCTCCCAACCAATTCAATGGGAATGGAAGCTCTCATCACACGATGTGCCAAAGTCAGCAGCTGAGCATTGGCACTTCTCTAGCAGACCTTCCAACCAATCCAAAGAGAAGTCACTACAGTCCGTACATACTCCGTAGGTACCTAGTACTCCGTAGTAAGTCGGTCATGGATTGATGTTTCCGCATACGATGGCGGAAAGTCCCAACGCAGCAATTTTCCGAAACTGCCGCCCGGAGTGCCTCTGTCCGCTGGGTCCGGAGGACGCTGCTCCGCCTACCCCATCATAATAATCAATTTCATTGAATTACTCCGGCGTTGTCGGTTGATTGATAATAACAAGGGCTTCTAGAAGCAAATTCCGATGCCGTCCAGCTGGCCTTGCTGAAGTTTTTCCGTGGGAAGACCCTTGGAGGAGCCCGACGAATGAATCCTCGCCTGTCATACTGGCATGTGCAGACAAATGGGCTAAAGCATGATGACCACTAGTAGTTCAAACTGCAAGCCGTGACCGCCAACTAGTATATAACCGATTGGTAGCGGCATGCCGACCTATCGCTTCTGTGAAGTGGGACATCATTAAGACTTCAAACATCGATGTAACTCGACTTCCCTGTGATGCAGTATATATGTTTAGTACAAGGGAGCAGCTCTGGACGTCATCATATTAGCCATTCTGCTTCAGCTAAGTTCTTCGCCGGTAGCAGCAACAATGAAGAGGAATTCATGCACGCGGGCGCCGTCGCCGTCCAGCTGCGGAGCCACAATCAGAATACGAGATTGTTCAATGGCTTATCTAGCAATCGAAAACAACACTTTTTGGATCAGAAGGCAGACTCTCCTGGGACTCATGTTGTGGAATACGAACTCAATTCATTTGTGATAAGACGAGGAGGATGAGGATGCGCTGAAGGGCGCCGGCGAGGGGGGAGGTTTATAGTAGAACTCCGTTCCTATTTTGAAAAGCACAAAATCGGCGACCCCGCGACCGACTGAGAGCAGCCCCAAACTGCAACTGCCCGATAAATCATGCACCAGCCTGGGGTCAGAGTGGGACTGAAAGTCCAGTCATTGCGCTTCTGATGGCGTCCATGTCCTGTACGACATGGGAGGAACACGGGTCTTACACAGCATACACGGGGTTCGGGTTGAGGACCGTTCACTCGATTCAAATGAAAAAAAGCAGGTGAATGCATGAAAAAGTACCTTGAATTCGCGCACTCGCCATCTCACCTCATGAATCAATGCGCCCCAGGTATCACAGAAAGAAATATCCGACCAGTATGTACAGGTAACTCCTATACGCTCTGCCCCGCTGTCCAGCGCAAAGATACAAATATAACAACATTAACGCCAAATTCATTCGTATACATCATAGTAGCGGTAGCCCGCAGTCAGCGATGGATCAGACGACCAGCCGTCGATCCCAACCATTGATTAGTCCAAAATCGTGAACTTCATCATCCAGACCAGGAACGACTACACCGGAAAATGGATCCAGAAGATTGACGTGCTCTTCTGGGGACAGGTGTACGTCGCTGTAAGGGATCGCATCGCCGGGGCTTGCCATGCTCTCGTCAGAGTAACTGAGAACACTCTGCGCCGCGACCTCTCGACCTTGATGCAGATCACCGTTGCTACTAGCAGACCACGCCTCTGGCGACAACCCTTGTAGCTCGTTACGCGAAGGTGGGTTGTGGTCTGATTTCTGAGCATACTCAGCAGTGATGGAAGCGAATGGCCCGCTGTCCTCGCCGCATTCTCTTCCGCCATAAATCCCAGTGAATATATTTGAATAGCCCCTGTCCATATCACTCAAAACAAACTCCCAGTCCGATACTGTGATGGGGGCCCCTGTCGTGTCCGAAGGCGCAGAGCTAGAAAGAACGTGGCTGCCATCGAAGGCCAAGGAAGAAGAGCGAAGATATGCCTTTTCGGCGATTATCTGCGGCGCGTTTGGATTGTCCAAAGGTAGGCTTGCCCAGCTCGCAGACCGAACATGGCGCGCATTGGGATGAGTGCTCGCGCCGGAGATTGTGGCTCTGCGAGAAGGAGAATCCTGCTTCTCTGTGAGCGACGGACTGGACTGACCAGTCAAGCGAGCCTTCCAGGACTGGAGCTGCTTCTTGGGAGACTTCAGAGAATTCTGAACAGGGGGGGACATGTCCGCGATTCTACCGGAAGAACCGTGCTCACGATTTTTCAGAGTGCCTAGGGTGCCCAGGATACTAGCCAGAGCATTAAATTCTGCAGCCGTGGGGCCCGACTCGGTCTCCAGCTGCTCAACGACGGTAGCAATCAGCTTCTGACTCTCTTTCGCGAGTTTGCTGTCATGCTTCAAATTCAGATTCTGCCACAACAGATTGAGGCCAGTAGCAAAGACCAGCTCTTTTCGGTTTAGACTGAGAGAAAGACAGAGGCGTCGCTCGTCGAGTAGCTGTAAAATCTGGATTATGTGCTTGGCTGAATCAGCGATGACAAGAATGGAAGGCGATCGAACGCAGTCTTCCCCAAAGCATACAGCAGGCCGATGAATCAAGGAGCGGATAAAATAATAGACAAGCGACTGGACACATGTCAGCAACGTCCTAATAGTGTCATTTAGCACTGTTACCTACCAGAAGGGGAGAACGACTGCTTGTAACATTCGTGCTGGGTTTATCCTGCGTGAATTCAAGACGAAGATGGGCAGGCAAGCTCTTAACCCATGCATCGAGCTGCTCCGCAACCAGACGCATCTTGGACAAGGAGATATCGTAATCGCCATCACTAGGGTACACATCCTCCAACGCTTTGTTGAGCAACCTGGAAGCTGCGAATAATGCAATCGAGCTGGAAATGCGGGTCGTCTCGCCAGGAAGTGTGGGCAAAAATCCCGTTTCAGTGACATTTTCATCGTCGATGTCTTCAGGGTATTCTGTTCTGATGTCCTGCTCTCGTATAACAACAGGCAGACCTGTTAAAGCCGCAGTGAATCTGACATAGTGTTAAAAGTGTGTTCGTCTAGGCGAGAAATACGAGACTTACCGATCAAGAACATATTGACACCAGAATACCTTCTTCCGAGTTTCCGCCTCAAGAGGGTTTGAGGCAAAGCGTTTCTGGCTCTGGTGAAGTCTCAATTGGTGGCAAAGAGTGACAGCATATCCTCTATAGGATCCAAGACTTGTGTAGTCGCCCTTGGCCATGCAGTACATTTGAGCAAGAATATAGCATTGCAGGGTAGGAATGGAGATGTCGCTTGATATGGCTTCCAACATAGGTGACCAGTTATCCTCAAAGAATGCGGGGTCTTGGTTCGTCCTCGACTACGATGGAGTCAGTCTTAAGATGCCTCGTGCTCCCCTTCGATCTGAAGGTACTTACAGTAGAAGCAAGAGCGGCTATGCCAAAGATTAAATTCAGCTGGGTGAGATTGTGTTTGCTATCACGCAACGATTCTGTGCCTAACAAATACTGCTCATAGGCCTTAAGGATCGATGGACGATGGACAACCGGGTATAGAGGAGCCCATTCCTGGAAGAAAATGTTGATAAGTTGATCCGATACAAGCCGAGGCGCTGACTTCAGAGTTTGATCAAAATGTGAACGAGATATGGGAGGAGGAAGGGCGGTCAGCTCCCTGATGGAGAAATTAGACGGTAGCCGATTTTGGTCTGATAGCTTGTTGACAAAGGCATCTTGAAGAAAGTTAGCTAAAGTAGATCGCATGACTGCTCCCATAACTCGACAAGTTCTATTTCAGGCGGTGCGGTGCAAACATACCGACAAAACCACAAGTGCTCGAAACACCCGTACAGACGGTGTTGTCAATTGTGTTGTGCGACTGAGACACTTGACGAACTTTGATCACGCCTTCAGCCGCAGCGGCTTCGGCTTGATTGGCCTCCGCCGGTGCCGTTGATGGTGAACGGATCGCAGTGGTGATCCTTGATTGTGACGACGTTGAAAAAGAATGGATTCGTGAGAGGACGTCTATCTTTTCGTCCTTCTCATCCAGAAGGTTTTTGAGATCCCTGACTTCCGACTCTAGTGCACGTACTCGTTCCTCCAAGGATTCAGTGTATCCGCGAGGGAAAGCGCGACGGCTCAGTTTATCGCTTGTTTTGCACTCGAAGCCAACATTGGCGCATTGAGTGCAACAGGGTCGAACACCATCACAGCGAATCTTCTTGCTTCTGCATCGATCGCAGGCCTGAGCAATACGACTTTGGGAGCCATTGCCAACCTTGATCACTTTCATCGGAAGAATTCCAGGCATTTTGGCGGGATGCTCTGGCGCATCTGCCTTTGATGGCTTTGACTAGTGAATGTGTCGGACTCGCGCGGATAAGCACAGATGCAAGGGCTAGCCTCGGTACAGAAGTGATGAAAGGTAGGGCAGATTGTGATAATCCCAATCAGGCGTATTTCCCAGAGAGGGTGTGTTGACGAGGACAGTCGATAGGAACACAGGTGGGTTTTGTCGAGATATATAAGAAGGGGCGAAGAAGCAGAAGTGGCGGGAGCGCGGGGAATGGAGGGGGAGAGAGGAAGGGAAGAGGTGGGTGGAAGAGAGCGAAAAGCACCAAATAAGACTGAGAACCACAAGTTTTTTGTGTTGTAAGGGACGGGAGCAATGGGAATCATCCGCAGTAGTGAGACGAGAGAAGTGAGTTAGTTACAGTAGTTACAGTTAAACGGTTCCAGTGCCATCGGGACTCAAAAGGGGGGCCAGGTGGGGCTGTGGGCTGTGGAGTCATGCGCTGGGATCGTGCCCAATTAGAAGATCTGGCTTACAGCGTTCACTCACTCAGCCGACTGTTTGAACTCCACGGTAAGGTATTGCCGTTACTGGTGCCCCCATGTATTGTGAAAATTGATCAGCTGCGTGCCAGCTGCCGAGGATGCTTAAATTTGTACAGGACCCTACAACATAACATGCAATTTATCACTAGTAGCGCTTGCCAGATATACAATCCAAAGCAACAATGACGCCTCGTATGTAGGGAGGCGTCTAAGGTTCTCCGTACCGGTATATGTGACTATGTATGTACTTACATTCCCTGGCAGTCTGGCAGCCTACTTTATCAGAGGTTGAAACACCATCCCTGCAATCGCAGGCACCGCCAACGGAGGCTGCCAAAAAATAATCCGAAGCCACTAATGCAAGGCGAGCGCAGGACGATTATAGTAGTGCATAAGGAAGACGCTCCTCACCTAGAGTGTCCAGGTCAACTTGATCCGATTGATATGAGTGGACGAATCATAGTCAAATTGTAGGTGCAAGAGCTGCAGGCTCGACACGTTTCGCTCCGTCTATCGCGCGATTCTAATCAACACAGTAACTATGGATCATATCGTCATGCATCCTGCCAAGGTCAGATTTTCATCCTACCGCCTATCCCTTTCGGGAATATGTAGACTGTCCAGCCTAGACCGACACTAGTCGCAACTGAGGGCGGTTCGGTTCTTGAAGATCATCAGCTCTCCGAGAAAGAGAAGCTTTCCGGATCCCACAGGGCCTACCTACTATGGATGGCTGGAGGTACTGGAGGTACTGGAGATGTAGATCTGACTTGCCGCTTGCTCCAAGGGTTCCTCCAATACTAACTACAAAAACGGTGTGGACATGTAAATTAGGTAGCCAACTCCCCCGCAACTCTTGAATCAGAGTCAGCCTGATCATGGTCCATTACTAGCAAAAGTATGGGGCTAAGCGGCATGACAATGGTAATCACTATTGATTGCTACGTACCCTGGAACCAAGATCGATGCGACCAGAACATTATTCGACCAGGAAACTACTCGTTTGGAGAAATGAAAAAATCCGATTGTTTACCGAGAAACTCCCGTTGACTCATTCGCTGGGTCCCTCTCCTCCTGCATTGGAGTCCCTTGGTTTCCTCCTGTACACACGAAAAGTTTGTATCTCCGCACATCAACCCTCCATTGCCACGGTCCTCGTTTCCCATGTTCTCATTCGGAGTGTCGTGGGGAAACTGAACTTTATTTCAGGCAGGTGCGAAGCCACGCTGATTTGAAAGTGTTGTCCATGTTCCTGGTTCTTCTTGTCGAACGAGCGGCGACTCCGCATAGCTGAAATCTCAAAAATATTGAAGTGGATGATGAGTCCATTTATGTAACCAACATATCGCAGTTATGAGCAACCCACCCACTTACCCCGATGGGCCTTCAGTCCTCAACCCGACATTCCGGCATTGGTGTTCTCGTGAGCATACCCGAGTGTTCGCCGAGAAAACTGCAGAAGTGGAGGCCAGAGTTTTGTCTTCAAAACCTGGTAGCAGGTAACAAGTATGGTGCCGCGCGTTTGACTACTTGGAGTTGCAAAGACTTGCGATGCCAACCTTTGTTAATCCAACCTTTGAACAAGTGACAAACATCATAGCTGTTCTTGACCAAAGGTAGGCTTGACTATTCCAGGTAATGGGGTGAGTTACAAGGCCCAGCCCTGCCCCTCACCTGCAGACGGTTGGACCCTTTGGGCCTTTACAAGTCATGCGCTAAGGTGTTAGCAGAAGACTACATTGACTCCCAATGCTTCACATGGTAGGAATTCTTCCTTCCTTCGCAACAGTATAATAGTCCTAAGCTGGCTCCACCGCACCAGGCCACCACCGGGCCATCACCCATTCAGTGAACTCGAGAAGGCTCGGCTGGTCAATAGAACGTCATGGTGTGGCCTCAGAGGCAACGAACCGACTTTTCTGAATGCGTGGTTCATATGAATTGGATGCGCAGGCCCTGGGGTCTCGGAATCCCCAGGCTGTGTGGTCTTGGCGGATGTTTTCCCCGCTGGGGTAAACCTGTCACCATTGGTATTTCTGGCCTGAAGGATCTTCCCCCGCGGTGGGTAAAAACGCAAACTCAGATCCCGCACCCACGTTTCGGGTCTCGATCATGCCATCTCTCGGGAACCCACGGCTGGTCTCTCAAAACATGGGGTAAATCTAGATGCAAAGCTCGTATTTTTCGTTAAGATATGCATTTACCATGCACTACATTACGACGTTTCACAGTGGGAGAGATCCCTTTAACGACCTCTGACCGCATGCAAGATTATTCCGCCGTCCAATTGACAAGAGAGGAAGGAAAATCCTGTCAAAGCATTGTAAGAGTCAGAAGACCTATATTCCTTTCATGGAATTCGACCCAGCCTACAGGATTCTGTATTCTTGCTTGGTATGTCTTTGACTCATGGCGGGAACTTCCAGGTTTAGGAGGCAAATGAAGCAGGCTTTATGACACCGATCGATGACCCCCGATATCGCAATGGTGTAATGCCGAGGTCTCATATCATAATCTCTACAGAAATCATGTACAATGAGATCGCCTCCAAAAATCAATAATAGGCTTGCGATAGCACGGGATCGAGCATTTAAGATTGAGTCTGACTGATCAATCACTGCTCGACCTTTAGCGTTTACAACCAATGGTCATGGAAATATAGCTACTATCCTAAAATCATCTGCGGCCATGCTTCGCGTAATAGAGCGATCTTGATGACAGTATGCTCGGCTGAATCTAGCTCGTACTACTCTGTACTTGTGTCTGATTGGCCCTCCTCCTGCTCTAAGCTGAGGTTGCGGTGCAGACATGCATGGATAAATTAGAGTGAGTTCCATTGCAGAAATGGGCATAATACCTGGCCCGTTGAGATGAACTTGTACGTCGCCATTGAATCCAGACTTATGAGTGATCTCGCGAGCCCATGTTTGAATTTGGGTTTGCAGTATGTATAAAGTAATGAGCTTGAAACAGAAAACATGGATTTAAGTGGATTTATTGTTAACATATATTTAGGAGTAGCTCCAAGCTGCGCGCGAAGTTCGAGCTTATGCCGTCAAACCAAGCCTTGGCGAACTAAAGGGGCACTCACCGTTTAGATTTTTATAAAAATGACGGTAGTCTTACTCACAGAGCATATCAAATGGTCTGATCATCCGTCAGCCGGCAGTCGAGGTTGCCTTAAGTTGTTATCGTAAATTATGTGATGTGACAATCACAGCCGGCTTACTCAAGAACCTCGGAAGCTAACACCAAAGTGGCTGGCGCTGCATCACAACCGCTCTCCTCCGCTACAGGTCATGGCAATTTCCTTATCTTTCGATGTCAATGCTGCATCAATCAGATATGTATCATGGCGTGGGCTTCGCATCGCGGGCCGAGGTCATGCCAAACTCGTGCGACCAAGAGGTTGTTATCATCCCAGCAAATCTCGTTCTTGACATATGCTGGTCACATTTGCATGGTTGTGCACTGAATATTGCTCCTTGTATCATGCCGAATAAAGAGGTCAGCCATGCGAGCCATGAGGACAACGATAATCCCAAATTGAGAAATTTCAGTCCATGAGATGGGCTGGAATGGAAACCTGAGCTATGGAGAGACAAAGTCAAAAGACGCCGTCGTCAATTTAAACTTCAGCAGCTGACTTGCTGAAATGTGTCGAGAGGGCTTTCTCGCTTTTGTGAGGAAAAGACACTACTGTGTATGCTTCCACCGATTCTCGCGGGAATATGAGATACATGAGCCCTTGATAAAATTCTCGAGGCCGGTCGGAAAGCTGTGTTTCGCGACACATTCCCATATGTTATCATTCTTCATGGATGAGACTTATCACAGGGAAGCCTGAGCCCCTGGCCGCAACAGGTACGTCACGAATCGACCTTGATATGCAAGAGGGTATACCCAAGTGTGGACGTGCCATAGGAGGTGGATATCGAGACTCAGGGGTTGATGGCGATGTGGTGGGATCTTCAGGTTTGACTACGAAGGAGTCGTTTGCAAATGGCATCATTGGTTTGATGATCTTGCCCGTCGAGGGGCTTGGCATCTTCGATGACCTCAAATAAAACGGTGGGAAAATGGATTCAGAGGAGAAGACGGAAGAAGAACGAGGAAAAATTCCCCAGAAACCACAGCCTTCTACGGAGTACCTCGATCATGATTCCTAGCTGCTACCGGCTGAGTCCCATGTTTGGACAGATCCAATTCTAGTAGGGGTTATGCGATCACCGAATCACTAAGAGTGATATTTATTCGCCCGCAATGGCCCCATAATATGAAGGTGGGCACTTCCAGTTTCTTCGGGTCGCAACTGAGTCGAAAAGAGATTCCGTAGTAAGTGTTGTCTGTTCCCAGTCTGGATTGTGTGCAAGGCGAACCAAGGAGAGCTCGGTCCTTATGACGTCGTTATCGTTAACGTCACCGGCCATCAACCACCCGTCAACCCTCCTCAACACAACATATTAAAAAGCTGCTTCTTGTCCGTTACAACTCTTCTTCTATCCAGAACACAATCAACTCACTTGCAATCAACTCGACTCAAAAACAATCAAATCATCCTACAAACTATCCTTCACGCCCTTTCCAGAACAACTTCTCATCTTCACAATCAAAATGACCGACGCTACTTTCCACACCACCATTCAGGACATCCGCAAGCCTGAATCCCACGCCTCCCACGCTAAGGCCGGACAGACCCCCGCTAACTCCAACGTTTCTGCGATGAAGGTAAGCAGGAATCAACTTCAATGCTGGCATTGAATCTCGGCATGACTTCTAACAACTCGAACAGTCTATCATCGACGAGAACAACGCCGACAAGGCCTCCAAGATCGAACAGATCAAGGCCAACCTGCCCCTGCCTGACCAGCCCCCCGTCGCTAGCGACTGGAACTCGGCCGACCAGAGAACCGTCAATGTCGGTTCTGGCGGTCGGGAAGGTCCCGTGTCTGGAGAGAACAACAGTGCTCTGAGAGAACCCGCTACTGCTAGCAGCAGCGTCCGCGTCGACGGATCCGAATTGCATCAGAACACCCAGCCCAGTAGCGACGTTGGTCGCCAGGGCAAGGACAACCTTGAGGGTCTCCCCAAGGATGCGCTTGCCCGGTAAACGAATCGATGCTACAGATACATCGAAAATGGTTTCTCTTTTTTTCCCCCAAGCATGTACTATAACGAACGAGCAATTTAATGAATGATCACGTCTATGAGAACAATTCTTCCTTCCATCATTAGAAAAAATCCTCTGTACGCTTTGAGCTCGAAAGAACCGGATATCTTGGCCTCATGACCAGCGTGCCATAGATCCCTTTCCTTACATAGATCGCTTTCCTAACTACCTCAGAGCAATTATCAAAACTTTGCTCACCCCATGCTGTAATTTTTTCGTGCCGCATGTTCGCAAGTCGTCTTATACATTTATAGTCCGGGTTGAGTGCATGGATTATTCACGTGCGATAGCAGAGACAGATGTGAAGGTCTCAAGATACCTCAGTACAATTTTCATACTGCTGCAATTTTGCAGGCCGATAACAGCGAAAGGCTGCTGATGGTAATCACATGACGTCACGCATACAAGCTCCACGAGGCAGAAGTGAAGCAGCGAAGGCCCAGAACGCTCAGACGCAGCATGAATCGCTCTGCCCATGGCGCAATTGCTATAATCTCACTGCAGAGAAACATCACATCGATGGTTCGGCACACCGGAAAAAGTAGTCAAGCATGTGCGGGACCGAAGGCTGACCATTTCCCCCACTTTCCTCGCCGCGAAGCAATTGAGGGTTCAGAATGAGCGGATTCCCTGCAGGATGGGAGGGCAAATTCGGAAACCAGACGGGGTCGCGGTGGGCCAGATCTTTTTTCTTTCCTGTCATCGATCAGAAGGTTGACGCCACAGGGCCAGCTCATTGACGTACTTCTCTGCTGACGGCGCATTAAATCGTTGCGTTGTGTTGACATTTTGTGGACATGTAATGTCAGAATGACATCACGTACATGCTCCCATGTATCAAGCCTGTTGACGACATGCATCATGCTATCCTATATAGTCGCCTGGGATGCTTTGTTTGAGAGTAGCAAAATCTACCAACCGAGCATCATCAAAAATCTCCATCAACCGCATCACAACACCAGAATTTTCCATCACCGTTCACATATCACGTATCTACTCAACATGGATCTTCAAGGACAGCCCATTCCCCCTGGCCAGCGCGGCACTAAGGTAAGTTCGATTCCCGGAACCCACGGTTGAGTCTCAGGTTCCTCCCTTCTTCAAAAGAAAGAGAAGAGTGCACTAACGCGGTAAATACAGGTCACCTCCGATCCCGAGCGCTACGAGCAGCCCATCAACGAGCCCTCTGGTCCCGTCACCAACGACTCCCTCGCCGCCGAGTCGGCCAAGCAGGGAGGTGCCTACTCTCAGAACCGGGGCGCCCAGCCCATGGGTGTCGACGGCAAGCAGTCCACCGTTACGAACACCAACACCTCCAGCGCCCGCAAGATCGACCCCAACCACAGCGAGTCGCAAGGCAAGTACCCCGAGGCTCTAGGCGGCCAGGGCAACTTCCCCGGCACTCATCTCCCGGAGAGTGGCTACGCTGGTGGCTCGACTGCGGCCAAGCAGGAAATGGGAATCAACAAGGGCGAGTACCCTGCCTCCCAGAAGCTTGAGCAGCAGCCGCAGCAGCAGCAGAAGCAGCAGAACACCGACAAGGTCCACCCCCACCAGCACCAGCCCAAGCACAACGTCGGCTACAAGCAGCAGAAGACTGCTGCCCCAGCCAGCGGTAGCGGCTACCAGGGAGTTGCCGGCGTTGCTCCCTCTTACGTCCACGATGTCCTCGACCACCTTGGAAACACCAAGCCCAAGGGCAACAACCTCAAGGAGGGTGGCATCCCGGATGATGCTCCCAACGCCAGCTATACCACTGACATTGGCAGCGAGAATGACCCTGGCCGCCTGGCCCAGGGTGGCTTCCAGTTGAGGTCTGCTGAGAGCGGCCCTGCTGGTACCCCTGCCGGCCGCCAGAAAGGTGTTGACAACCAGCAGCCCTTCCAGGCTCTGCAGTCCGACCAGCGTGCTTAGGTCGTCGCATACGATACATGATTTTATGAAAAGCAAAGCGGAAATTTCTTTTTTCTTTTTAGCTTATGATTCTTGTTACTCAGGAAGCCTTCCACCAGGAGGATCGGTTAATATGATGCAAAGAAGGACTGGGTCCTTCGCAACTACGAATGTATATTAGATTATTTATCATGCAATCTGAGACTGCCCAAAAATTATTGTTTGGCTCCTCATACATCTTGTAAACTCTTATTGGTAAAGTCGGAAAGTTCTTGAGTTGGTAGTGAGGAATCTTTCTGAGACGAGTAGATATGTATGCTTATCCCAACCCTCTTTTCACGCGGACTTTGCACTGAGCAGGTTTCGTATTGCGCCATTTCGGCCTTTGCCACACACAGCCAAGTAGCTATCAGAAAAATGAAAAGTCAACAGCGACACCTAAGACAAGATCTTCCCCAAACGTCAGCAAGGGAAAGAGGGCAGCTGCAGTGTTCATGATGCTGTCGACAGCGACCGCATGCGACGGTTGATAGCCAAACTAAGTCTTAAAATGTTGGAAGGTAAATCGTGCTCAGTCGAAACAGTCTTCAGTCGCTTCTTTGCGCCGAGATTGATCCCCGAGGCTCTAGACGGCCAGGGCAACTCGGAGAAAGCAATGAAGAAAAGGTTTTGGTCTGACTCAAAAGTCATCACCTACAAGATGACAAGATAGTTGCCCATGATATAGATATCAACAATTCAAGGGAAATGTTGATCAAGCTTACTGGAAGCTTTGCAGGGTCATACGCCCATGAAGGTTACTGACATGAAATGGATATTCTCAAGCAGGGGGCAAGAAAGAGGCAAAAAGCACACCCTGGATCATAGCATATCCAACCATATATTTCACGATGATTTTACCTTTCCAATCCCTCCTCCCTTCCTTTTCAGAGTGCGTCTGCAGCAGCAGACAGGCTACCCATATATACCAGATCGGATACCCCGAGGACACGCGTGTGACAATCTGTACATGGTGCTTGAGGAAAATAAGCACCGCGAGGACCACCTGCGGGACCGCCAGGCTTCGCAGCAGTCGGTCCGTCAATTGAGCTTGCCGTGTGTCTTGCATCTCAGCCGAGACCCTTGATGTCGCCAGCTCTCTCAATTCCTTTGTTACAGCCTGCCGTCCAGAGGCCACTAAGATGGTGAGCATGGGGGCAGCGAGGACAAAAAGAGGGATGTTGGATAGTGTCCAGTATCGCAAGAATCCATTATCCCTGTACACATAAGCGTCAACGGGGCAATGGGCGGCGGCTCAGTTCACACAGACTTACCAGTAGTGATCCTGCACAAAGCTATAGATACTCGGGATCATTCTCCGACACCAAACCCTCGGTTCATGATCGTCAGATACGATGCAAAACTCCTGATAGGCGATGTACTGCGGGAGAACGAAGCCAAGACCCGTGCAGAGACCAGCCAGTCCAACAGCAAGTAAGCGCCTCAATTTGACATAAGAGATGCCGCTAGGCAGCAAAAGAAGTAGCCGGACCGCTTCTTCAAAGAGTGGGATACCATTCAGCAGGCCGTTACTGCGACATGTTGTGGCTAGTCCGTACAGGACTCCTGCTACTACTAGAAAGATATCGTGGAGAGAACCAGGGGACGTGTCTAGTGAGAAGCTCTGCACAAATGCAAGGGAGCCGCAAAAGCTCAAGAGAGCATATATACTCTCCGCACATGGAGCGGACAAGAAAGCACCTCCAGGGGACAGGATGTGCAAGCATGCTGCGAGGAGAGCGACCCTGCGGCCCTGCGCCCTTGGGAGAAGGGCACATATGAGATAATAGAGAGAAATCGTAGATAGTCCATGAGCACCATGGGATAGCAAAATGCCGACGATACTCTCGTTGAAAGTATAGTCAAGAATAGTGGTTCTTTGAAGGCCTGGTGAGCTGTTAGCCAGGAAGCTTTGATTTTGGATTTACTACAGCTCAAGGGTACCATTTGCCAAGACATGTATCAGGCGTGTGAATCCGTAACCGAAGGCCCATTCTTGCTCGAAGACATAGCCTCGATTGGCGGATATGATGTAATATATCGAATCCCATCGCGTGAATTTGATGGAAATCGTTTTCAGCATGGCTGGCAACGTTGCTTTGGTCGCATCGCCGTTCCATCGGATCAATGTGGTCGAGGTGTCATACCCGGGCCCAGGCGTCAAGACAATAAGGAATAATAACAGACCTTTCCAAAGTACAAAAACTGCTAGTAACGATTGAAGAGGATAGGAAATGTCTATTATTCGAGATTTCCACGCCATACTTCCTGCTGGTCCAGGATACTGCCAGTGTGATGGTTGAATTGAACAAGCTCAGGAGCAGATCCGCTGCATGTGCGCTAAGCCTTCCCGCTCCCGTGCTGCAGTTCAGGGTCACAGCTCTGATTTGGGGGGGAACTACCAGTATAAAAAATGGCATCCGAACAACCAAGTTATGAGTTGCCCGGATTGTCTCAAGCACGTTGAGATGCTGAAGCTGGACCGTTGCCAGACACGCTTACTGCAATAGTCCTACTGTCGCCCAGAAAAAAAATACCTTGTCAGTCATGTGAGTTTAATTTTGAAGACATCCTGCCTTTTTTTCATACACCATTTGCGAACGCCGGATTTGCAACGGACACATCATAAAAGATCAACCCATATAAGCACGTCCCAAAGGCCAGATCCCAAAGACATGCACTGCCTTGTCAGACAACAAAGTGGAACTGTACAGCCATCGCAAGTTGACAAGACATATAAAGAAGCCATATAAAATTAGGGAAAAAAACGGAAAGAAAATCAAGGGCGCTTTCATAAGTCCAGCTAAGACCTCATAGGTTCACCCTCTTAAGCTCCTTCTGAGCCAGCTTGGCCAATTCCTCATACACCTCGGTGAAGTCCTCACCGTCGTCCTCGCCCTTCTTGCCCTTGGATGCCGACTTGGGCACGACCATCACGACACTTGTGGGGCGTTTCGTAGCGGCAGAGTTACCGAGCTCAGCTCGGGATGTGACAAAGACATATGGGATTCCGTGGTCCTCGCACAGGACGGGGATGTGAGAGATGACGTCCATTGGCGAGATGTCGGCGGCAAGAATGACAACTCCGTTGGGAACAGCGATGGTAGCGTTGGCGGCGGGGATGGGCGACTTGCGGAGGGCCTTGACAACTTCCTTCACACCACGCTTCAAGCACTTGTTGACAGCGGCTAGTATAAGAATAGCAATTAGCAAATCGAAAACTGAAATAAATTCTGCCAGTTGATCGAGAATTGTTGGACAGATTCTGCGGTTGTCTTATGTCTCGTGCCAAATGATCCGGACTCAATGCATTATGAAAAGGCTGGAATGGCAGTGACAAATGCTCTTACCTTTCTTCACGCTCTTCAGAACCTTCTTGGCGGACTTGTCCTCGACCAAGGGCTGGGCGAAAGGAACGAGTGCGCCAACGGGGTTGCTGTCGAGATCCATGACCTCGGCCTCGACGACACCAGTGACGGTGGCATCAGCAGGAATAGCCTCCTCAATGCCTTCCAGAACCTTGGTGGTGAGCTCCTTCTCGACAGCATCGGCAAGGGCGGTCTTGTCCTTCTTCTCCTTCTTCTCCTTCTTGCTCTTGGAGATACCGTCCTTCTCCGCGCGCTTCTCCTTTCTCTCGCGCTTGTCCTTCTTGTCGCTCTTGTCCTTGGCCATTTCGAATATTAGACCCACTCGGGAATTAATGCTGCGTCCGTAAAAGGGGGTGCGAGGCGAGAAAAAAAGGCGTTGGGCGTGAGGAGGAATAGTCGTCCGATCTCGTTGAAACCCGCAAAAATTCGAAATCCATTCAAAATTTCGACGCTAGTCCTATTCAAAAGTGTGAGCTTCCGCGGGCGGTGAAGTGATGAGTCATCATGGTGGTGGTGCTGCGGATGTTCATCGTTGTATGCATGCATCATTTCGTTCAAACAAGCGAAGCGTTGTGAGCCTTGAGTGGTGCTCGCTTACACTTCGGTCGCCAGACTGCAAGTCCAGCCTGCGTCTAGTCCGTGATACCAAGTATTGATTGTACTGTATTGGCGATCAGAGTGAAGCTTCCCGCAAGGCCTGTTTGGCCTTCTATCACCCGATGTAGGTCGAATCTTCATCGCGTGTCATAACAATAGATTCTCAAGGGCTCAATTGACAAGCGCTGCACAGATGGCTTCAAACCAACCCCCTCTTTCAGCTTGGGGCTCTCCGCCTCCCGAGTCGCCTCTGGCACTTCCTCCGGCACCGAGTGTTTTCCAGTTATCGAGTCGCCTAGCGGAACCAGCTCACCCTTCGAAACCAGGTGAGACCTACACGTTTTACCCATAGCACGAGACTGTAACTGACAGCCCCCTTCCAAAAGATACCGAAAAGGAGGAACTACGGGTTCAAGTAAACACGCTGAAGTATGAATTGGAGAATTTCAAGCAAGAGCGAGACCTGATGATCCTGCGTCACGAGAAAGAAGTTCGGGAATTGCAATTGAAGGCAGATGCGGACTTTCGTAAAGCTCAGGTATGTTGACATCCAGACTATCAGCTTTCGCGCTTCTCGGAGCTAATGTACCGGTCTATGCTTAGGTTGCGGAATCATCCAGTCACCGTGCCAGCCACAAGAGCGAGACCATTGCGAAAGAGTTGAAAGAGGTACAAGATAACGCTCTTAACGAGAAAGCAGAGTTAGAGCGAAAACTTCGTACACTTCAAGACCAAAACCAATCTCTTCAGGAAGATGTCGATGATACAAAGGCGCAACTACTGGACCAAGAACGACAATTCAAATATCAAATTAATGAGTTGGAAACGATCCGATTGTCATTCCAGAAGACGCTTGAGGAGTTGCAAACCGACTTGCAGAGTGTGAGAAGTGACTTGCACGCGACTCAAGCGAAGTTGCAGGAGCGAGAGACGGAAGTCGCACATTTAGAATCAGAGAATATCCGTCTGAAGGCCGAAGGCAGCGATCCGGAGACACTATTGGTCCTTAAGCGGGAGCTTTCGGATCAAGTCAATCACATCAGGAGCTTGGAGACTACGAATCGTGAACAAACTACCGAACTACGTCATTTGCGGAAGGTCCAGAAGAATGTGGAAGTAGTAGAGGAGCAGAAGCGATCCTTGGAAAATCAGTTACAGCTCATGAAGGGTGTGGAGTCTGAATTAGGAACGGTTCAGATCCAGATGCAGATACTTGAAGACGAGCGGCGGTCATGGACCAGTCTCTTACAGGACAACGACCAGCCGGCGGAGCTTGATTCTCCTGAATTGGTAGTCAAAGCTCTGTTGCAGGAACGGATAGAGAAAGCCACCCTTGTTGACAAGCTGGGAAGCGTTGAAGCCGGATTCTTGGAGAAGGAGGAGCAAATACGAAGCTTGGAGGTCGAGAAGGCCAACATGCGGAAGGAGATAGAGATTCTTCGCGCGGCTGCTTCTGTAGCTGGCGGAGCCACTGCTGAGAGCCGCACGAAATCCCGCCTTGAGAGGCAGCGCACTCTCGCTGTCAAGGAAGTCGAGTACCTTCGGGCCCAGCTGAAGACCTTTGACACCGAAGAGGAAACCATGAACGCCGAACAGAGTCAGTTTGATCAGCAGAAATCCGAGCAGATTGCCGCCTTGGAAAAGCTTGTCGATGAATACCGAGCTGAGCTGGCCAAGGCTCACGAGGAGCTTTCTCAGCGTGAGGCGCCGGTGGCGCAGCCAGAAGAGTCACAGCAGCCGCGTGGAATCAAGAGACCCCTCTCACCTGCCGAGAGTGACGTTGAGAGCGAACGCCTCTCTGTTCTATCCCGTAAAAACCGGACACTACAGGAGTCGCTCACGAAATCCGAGCAGGCCACGACTCTTCTGCGTAAGGAGCTTGAGGCCGCAAAATCACAGCTGAGATCCCTCAAGGCCAAGTCACGTACTCGCATCCTAGAACTGCGCGACAACCCTACGGCAGAAGCCGAGAACCTCAAGATGTCGACCATTAGAACTCTGAAGGCCGAGAACCAGGATTTGCTGGCGCAGCTGCGCGGCGATCATGCCGACGTCAAAGTCGTCCCCGTCAGCACCCTCGAAAGCATGAAGCTAGAAATACAAGATATGGAGCGTGTTGTCGCCGACAAGGAGAAGCGCATGCGCCGCCTGAAGGAAATCTGGACTGCTAAGTCTTCGGAGTTCCGCGAAGCCGTTGCGTCCCTCTTGGGATTCAAATTAGACTTTCTTCCCAACGGTCGGGTGCGAGTAACGTCTATGTTCCACCTTTCGCCCGCCTACAGGCATGGCGACCGCGATGGGGCTTCGGACTCCCAAGGACCAGGAAGCATGGGCAATGGGGAGGAGAATTCGATCATCTTCGATGGCGAGAACGGCACCATGAAAATATCCGGAGGCCCCAATAGCCTTTTCGCAATGGAAATAAGGCCTCTAGTTAAGTTCTGGGTGGAAGAACGCAAGGACATACCCTGCTTCCTGGCCGCGATGACACTTGACTTTTATGACAAGACAACAAGGGCAACGCGTATGTAAATTTGCTGTGACTCATGTGGAGTGGGCTCTTCGGCTCTAATTCTTTGTTTGATTCTTGCAACAGCTGAAGTGATATCCCGGCACAGGTCTTGCTGGTGCCATGTTTGTTATACCCATGACTCTTCCAATTACCAGTAGATGAGCTTTATTTTCCAGTGACCTAGCGCGGTTCTCTCGCTATTCTTAGAACACTGGTGCAGTTCAAATGCATAACTCATCGAGCATAGCCGAATTCATAGAATTATTCACAGCCCCTTAGTCATCTTTATTTCATGCAAATATCAAATGAGCGGTACAAGGACAAACTTGGGTATTTACAAGGTATTAGGCATTATTACTGTTGCGTCAAAAAAATCAAGGATGTTTTTACACCACCAGAAGTCCAGCAGGGATGAAGCTAGAATAAAAGGAATGTTGAGGGAATAATGACATGGCAAACAAAGACATTGATATAGTGAACAAATGTAAGGGAGCGGAGCGGGCAACCAAAGGGGAGGTTTGCGGTCCAAAGACAATACCAGCCAATTGTGTATTCGCAACGGCATGGAAAATGTTTTAACAGCCTTTGCAGCAACTGCAAAGTGCAGTGCTAAATTTCATGTGCCCGTCGGAGATGCTTAAGCCAAAGGTTCATTGTACATAGGCATTGGAGACTCCACAAGCCACGAGTCGTCACGCCTTCAACTTTAGGATGAGACGTACTTCGCCGCTACTAATTTGCGCACGGTTGGAACTGTCTTCCATTCGGTAGACGAATCCGCACTCGGAATTTGTGCCCCCGAATCGTCATCCGCAAAAGGATCGGTACTCTTCTGTGGATTCTGCTCGGGGAAAGAAGCTGTGCTGATTCCTAATTGCGTCCCATCTTCGATCCTGTGCACTTCAAATCGTGCATCCACCTTGCCCTTCCGCGGCCCACTCGCTCCTGTCGAGAACCGGACGAGAAACTTGCCATCAGATCCTGCTGTGACGTCCAGTTCAGGAAGCCTCCAAGTCACCGCCGATTGCTTGCGTCGGAACGTGGCCCCAGTATTAGGATACATGACAGCAGCTGTGGCATGAGCCACTTCTCGGTCTTCGACCGGTGAGGTATCAAGGTTAACAGTCAAGAGTAGATTTTTGACGCTGATCGACCTTCCAGCTGGGAACGTGGGGTTGGCAGAGTAAAATATGATAACACTGGCTTGCATCTCCTCTATGTTCCAGACTGGTTTGAAGATGACTGGGCAATAGCTCGAGGCGTTTGCTGGATCAAAGTGGATTTGATATTTGAAGGCCACGGTCGGAGAAGGCCGAGTGATGCCAGTGAGATTGATCTTGTACTGACCTCTTTGCTCATCTGAGAGCTCCTTGTTCTTTTCTTCGCTCACGAAGTGTGGGTTGGCGGCAACTTTCTCCAGGATTTGGAAATTGTCAAGTCGCACCCGAGCACTTTCCGCTTGCGTGTCAGGAATGGGGTTGTAGGCAAGAGCAAGTTCGCCAACAACGTGTGTCTTTGTTACCATTCCTTCAGAGAACCACGCACTGACAGTATCAATTATCGAGGCATTAAGACCAGGTCCGTGTAGATCAGGATGGGCGACAACGCCTGCTGCGTTGTGCAATGTATGTCCCGATCGAATGGACGTGGTGTCGGAGAGTGCATGGTCATCGCTGGCGTTAGTAGGCGAATTGACGTGCCTCAGTGGCGCTGAGGGAGACAGTGGCACAGGGGGATCTGATGCCGAGGGTGTGACAGGATTCTCGTTCCCGGGGACAGGATTGGGAATGAAAACCGTGTTACGGACATCACGACGGCCGCGCAAAGTTCCTGCATTGCGTCTGGCTCCGGATTGTTGGGCTCGCTATGCAATCTATTAGCGTCTGGTGATGCACGTTGTGTCTATCTGTCCTAAACCCACAATTCTTAGTTGATTGGCCATGTCATCCATCGCCTGCTTAGCCTGATCTTCGTCCTCGAAGATCGGCTGGTCACGAATGGTCAAGTTAATGCCACTTTCTTCCAAACTACAAGAAAATTAGTAAAACAGATGCTCGACATCGCGGAGCAGATTCCATACCCAGCCGCTTCTCTTTGAGCCCTTGTGATCTCGTCGATAGTATCTGGCCGCTCCGAGAAACCCTCTGAGTCTACTCGTGGCTGAGCAGGGTGTTAGTGCTGGAATTCTTTTGTCATTGCCCATATGCGACTTACTTCGTTCGGTACGGTTGAATTCTCCTCTGCGGGGGTTTCATGGGAGATATCTCCATTGGCAGAAGCAGCTGCTGGCTGCGACACTGGACTCGGCGCCGTTCTGTTAAAGTCTTCATGTTCTGGGAATTCGCCTGGAATGTTCAATGATTCAGATGGACCCTCCTGCGAAGTCAAAGCAGTACCAGGACGGTCAGATCCTTCTGGAGGCGTCTCTGGGATCTGCAAATCGCGCGAGTCCCCTCTTTTAAAGGAAGCGAATGGGCTCCGATGCTTCTTGTCTGAGAAGAAAGGGCCACCGCCAGAGGGTTGTACGATACTGCGACGTCGATTCATCACCGTACCTAATCTTTTCAACCCTCCAAGAGGAGTGCTGTGACGAGGCTCAGGAGCTAACGAAAAACCAATTAGTCTGTCATGCCGAGAAATGTCGGGCTTTTTTTTTTCACGGTTGAGACGCGACACTCACCGGGAGGCGCTCTGGCTGGTCCAGACGTTTCCGAGCGCTGGCTGGCAGCATCATCCTGGAGGTGCGGCGGAGGTGACAATGGTGCGACAGGAGGTGAGGTTTGCTGCCTCCGTGGAGCAACTGGTCTTCCTCCGTTGACTTTGGCCGCAAAAGTTTTTATTTCATCCGCAGTCTCGACATTTAAAAGAACATTCAAGCAACTCTCAGCCGCCTGGCGGCTGCGTTCCACCTGATCAGACTCATGGGTTTGCAGTTGAGTCAAAACGTCTCTTAGGTGGTTGAGGCGACCCTCATCAGCCGCCTGAAGTTGCTCAAAGACAAATGGTGCTCTTGAATCCCACTGCTGACTGATCTCTTCGGCAGCAGCCACGGCACTGGCTAGTTTGTCCGCGCCCTTCGGACCCTTCTCCCTAGCCTTTTCAACCTTTTTCTGCGCCGTCTCGTAATTCTTGGCCAAAGCTGCAAGATCACTCTGAATTCCAGGCATTGATGACAATTCACGGCTCTTGCTGTTATAATCCCGTAGAGGTCGTTCAACGTCCTCATCGATCTTTTGCGCGAAGGTTTCATGGGAGAGCGCTATGGATTCAGTGGCACCAACAATGCGTTGCCACGGGATCTGAAATATACTGTATTTGTGTAAGTCAGCCAATATCGATTTGGAAAGAACGCCGATGGTTAGCATTACCCCAGCGCAGCTCCATTGTCTAATTGTGGGCGATGCGCAAGCTTCCTTAAGCCTTGAGCATATACTTCTTCAATGCGTCGACGTTCCTGCGATTGATATTCCCAGGCATCAGACCGGCACGCTCTAGCAAGGAGTTCGGCAGTGGTTGGGGGGGGGGCGCGATATGTGATTTACCTGGAGCCAGTCCGCAATGTCCGCATTGATTTTGTTTATGGTGCGAATGCGCTCGTTAAGCACATTAGTCGCTTGACTGGGCTGCAAAGAGGCCTACATGTAGAGTACCGGGAGCAGATGTCAGCTAGTTGTGCAATGTCACTGGGTGTAGTACGTGGCTGAAGCATTGGGTGAGGGACTGGGTTGATCGTACCAGCAGCGCCGGATACTCCTGCCGAGAGAGATCCATCACTTCTCATAGATCACAGCTGCAATGGCACAAAATGTCGGAGGCGCATAATAAAGTTCCAGCGAGAGAGGGAATAATCAGCATCAACACGGGAATTGTCTCAAAGGCGATGGAGGGGGAAGGAAGCCGAAGAAGCCGACAAGCGCGTTCGAGATTTAACAGTTGGCGGTGGGAGGGAGAGGGAAGTTTGGGGGGGGGGGGGAGGAGAGATGGTGATGACGATGACGGGTGACGGACTGCAACGCCCGACTGAGGCCAGGCGGAGGAGCCGAACTGGCCGAGTCCGCATCAGGTAACACACTAAACCACAACAGGCCAAGTGTGACTGTCACATGTCCTCCGAGTCCCGGGCCCGACCGCCTTGATACGGTATGGCTCATACTCACTGGGATTATCTTAACATGAGGAGCTGATGTGACTGAGCTCTAGTCTTCCGAGACTACCTACTTAAGATATCTCTTTATCAGCAACCTTGCTTCATCTCACCAAGTTCCTCTGGGACAAATTGGAGATAACAATGGCTGTGTCCGACTGGAAAAGAACCTTGGGATTTTCGGAGAGATTGACAGCCATTCAATCACTGTACGCTTTCTCCTGATGCATGAAGTACCTTTCTTCAAGCTGATGCTTACTTAAGATAGTACCACTGCCTTTCAACGAGCCTCATCCTCTGCTGCATTTACCGAGGCCCAGTCCCAGGCGAGGAGATGTGAAAACGGAGCTTATGATAAAGCCTCGTCGCGCGTCAGTCTCAAGTCTTTGCTCCGGTCATGATTGCCAAAACTCACTATGGAGTGAATAGGATGAGTACGATGCACTTTGCCAAGAGGCTATTGACGCAGCAGAGGCCATATATTCAGTAGACCTAGTCGACAATAGTTCCGCCGAACTACGCGCTGAGCCAAATGATTTGGATTCAGGCCACGGCGAAGTGATTGGTCCCTACCAGTCATGCGTACATCATTTTGACGGCCTTCATTCGACTGTCTACAAATCGCGGTGTGCAGACAGTGCAGTCGTCGCGCTCAAGGTTCTCATACCCCACATGTTGACGGCTCCACACAGCGCCATACGTGAGGTTCAGCTACTGCGAGATGCAGCTCATGCTCACGTGATACATTTAATAGAGACACTCAAACTAGATGGAGGACGTCTAGTGTTGGTGTTTCCCTTCATGAAGCATGACTTTGAACAATTGCTCCGTCGGGGTGCATTAACAGCCGCACAGACGAGATCCCACTTGAGAGATATGTTTCGTGCTATCGCGCATATACATGGACTGGGAATCATACATCGGGATATCAAGCCGTCTAATATTCTTATGGATAGTCCCGACGGTCCTGCTTACTTGGCAGACTTTGGCATTGCTTGGAAAAAGGGGATCAAAGATGCGGAACCAGCCGACAAGAAGATCACAGATGTAGGCACCACATGTTATCGATCACCAGAACTTCTCTTCGGTTTCAAGGGATACGGAAATGCTCTTGATCTTTGGGCAGCTGGCTGTGTTGTGGCCGAGTCTCTGTCTGTGGGACATCACCAATTGTTCGACTCGGGACCCGTTGGAAGCGATCTGTCGCTCATCCAATCGATATTCGTTACTCTGGGCACTCCTGACGAGACCACCTGGCCGGTATGTTCACATTTTGTCCTTAGGCTTCCCTTACACCTCAGTTGACGCTGGTAACAGGAAACCAAAATTCTCCCTGATTGGGGAAAGATAGAGTTCAAGAAGTATCCTGCCAAGCAATGGGATGAGATCCTCAAAGGGGCCTCGTCCAAAGGGCGTGACTTGGTCAGCAAGCTCGTCCGATTTGAAAGTAGTGAGCGGTTATCCGCAGAAAAGGTATGCAGTGCAGGGGAACAAGCTACTATGTTATCCCTAACAAGCTTCTAGGCACTGAACCACCCCTATTTCTCAAATATCTGAATCGTTGTGTCCCTGAACCGTTCCTCACCTCACTTTGGTCGTCAGGATGTAGGCATAGTTCTCGGACTGGACTCTGACAACGAGCCATTTCTCATGAGTCTTCTACTATTGTCATGTGATCAGAGAGTGCGGAGCAGCATTATTTAGCCCACCTCAGCATATCATATGCTCTCCATGCATTCCGGCAAGCTGGCGAAACTGGAGCAATAGGCCTGTGTCCTGTGGGAAGAGGGGCAGACATTAACTAATGGCGGGGCGTCGAGGCAGGCCTGCTAGTCAGTTTCAGGGCAGCCACAAGTTAGCGATGAATCTTGCTGATTCGTCAAACGGAGAATGGTAATATCATGACTAGAGTCGAAAGGAGTCACCTATGGGCTGATTTGGGAGCATAGACCTCCCTTTCCACGGCACGGAAGGTCAATTTGAGAATGGTCATCCCGTAACCACATACTCAAAGGTTGTAAGAGGCTGACTGATCGGCATGGATCGCTGCTTTAGCTTGGATTAACAATCACACTCAGTCTGCAAGCGTAAGATAGGGGAAAGGTCAGCAAGAGATGAATTTTTTCCTTTCCCACGCCGATGGTTCCATGCATGCAAACTGCAAAAGCAGCAGTCTTGGTGAGATTGCTGAAAGCATAACCCGCCAATGAAAGAGTGACAGTCACCCTGCATGGAAGCGTACGATAGGATGCATCGGATCCCACAACCGCATGACCATCCAATGTTAAAATGGTAAGTGGAGGACGCTAGAGGACCCGGAGATCGGAGTGACTCGGCGCAACATCTCAAGAATTGGTGCTACTCCTGAACCCATGGTTTGTTTGTTTGGGCTGGGAGGCTGAATAATCCCCAGCATGAAAACCTCTTCTGGTGTGGGTCAAGCGGTTTGAACATCCTTTGAACGATTGAGTTACCATGATATCTATCTAGTCTCTGAACCATTTATGAAGATTTATTTGCCCTTAAATAGTACCGTAGCAGCCAGAAATCTGAGGGGTAGCACAACATTTTCCCGTGCATGCACCTCGTCGGTGGTAGAGTGGGGCGGCGGACATACGGGGTACCTACAGAGAAGCACGTTGCTTTGAGTTAATTCCCGAAGATACTAGGTAGAAACAGTGCTGGGAGGGGGTGGGTGAAAAGGAAGAGTTAATCTGGGCTTGTGGTCGAGCTTGTTGTCATCACGACTGATCGGTGAGTAAGTTAATATCTCCTCTTACTTTGAAATAATAAATGGATCAAGGTAAGATTAATCAAAAAAAAGACGGTGGTCATGGCGGATGAATCGAGCGGTCCTCCAGGAACCCAAACTCCATCAGCTGCTCGTGCCGATAGATTACCGTCACAAAACCAGGGACGGTAATCAAGTGTTGCCAATGAGACACCGCATGTGCCTGGGAGCCACGGGGCTGCCCGCATCAGAACCAGCCACAAAAGGTTAGTGAATGCGGGCTGATACTGAGTGATACCTGGGGCTTATTGGTCATTCCCCCACCCATTTATGGTTTGCCTTCATTTCGGTTCTCAGTTCGTCCCGCAGCTCATCCTCGTCGATTGTAATTAGCCTCGTATCCCCTCAGCCCTCTTTCTCCTTCTCTCTTTACTCTACTCTTCTTCTGTTTCTTCTTCTCTTCCCATCTTCATTCCTTTGCTAGTCTTTCCTTTTTGCTTGCAGGCTCCCCCTGTAACATCTGCGGCCTGGAAGCTGTTGTCCTTCGCTTTCTCTTTGACCGGGTGTGGCCCAGTCCGCCCCGAGTATACATGCACTAGCTAATTTTCAGCCTTCCATTCTTTCCAAACGCGCTTATCTTTAATCTCTGTGTTCTGTGACTGGATCTGAGCGATCTTGCTAAAGAATCCAAGACCCCTGAAGAAGAAATCTGCGACCCCACGATCTTTTCGGTCTGGCAACCTGTACTTCGGGCTAGTACCCATTCACTCTTTATAGATTTAGCCTGACCTATCTTTGGTGCGGCATCTCTTGATGAGACCAATTGACTGCAGCATTCACCAATAGAGTTCTCGATCACCAGTTTCCATCATGGTACATGCGCACGCGCATCGCGACCATGTCGCCAATCTCCAGGCACGAGATGTCACTGTGGTCTATGTTACTCTGTCTGCCGACTTCGACGGGCCTATAGGAGGGTACGTGACAATGTCGCAAACTTCCTCAGAGAAGAACAATAAGGCAACGGCCGGCTTGGGCGCCCCTGTTCAGCAGACTCGGTCGTCGTCGCAGGAGGAAACAACCACGACCCAAACGAGCGAGGAAACGCAAGTTAAAGCAACTGGAACTGCCTCTGAGAATACCGATAGTCAAACCACTACTAGGCAGAAGGCAGGGCAGACTACGCACGGGTCGCAAACAGTATCTACTGAACAGAGCCAAGAATCGACCACCCAGACTACGTTTATAACCAGTTCCTCTTCCTCCACTCCAGCTATCGCTGGATTAGAAGGTGCCGCCGCCACTGCGTCATCGTCAGGGATTTCAGCAGCATCAGCCTCTCCCACCGCTGCATCTGTCTCGCAAGGTCTTGCTGGTGGTGCGAAGGCTGGAATCGCTATTGGCGTGATATTAGCGATCGGTGCGATCGCAGTCTTCATTCTCCTATGGATCCGCAAGAAGAAGCAAGGGCAGCAGCATCTCCAAGCGGTCGAATCTGAGAACGAGAAATACGTGCGCCAAGATGATATTGCACCCCTACCACCTCCGAAGCCCGAATCTGTGACTTGGTCCAGCCCGCCTCAGCTCAACATTCGTCCTGTCACCCAATTCGCACCTTTCGCATCAGAGTTCGCCTCTGATGGCGGTGCAACTGGGCTTTCCGCAGGTGGAACGCTTGCACCCATTGCTGCCTCTGCCGTTGCCAGTCGCTCTCTCACGAACAACCCTTCGCCGCCCCAGACACCACAGTCGAGCTCTCACGGTTCGAATCCATTTGGTGATCCGGTCAACCCCTTCAGCAATCCCGGGGAAGCCCCATCGCCTCTCGCTTCAAGCACTGCACTTAGCGTCTCATCAGCACCTGTTTCGCATGGTGTTGGGGAGCCTGCTCCTGCTTCGGAGGACACCGGAGATCTCGCGCCTGTCGCAAGTGCCGCTGAATCTGAGCCGGTTCATGAAGACACCGCCGTTACAGGGATTGCGGCAGCAGCAGCAGTCGTTGGCGCTGCGGCCGTAACTACTTCTACGTCTAAGACCCAGGAAAAGGAACTGCCTGAGTCCCCCGAAGATTCCTCGACAAGTTCGCAAGCATTTCCCCCGAAGGCCGCCCCAAATGAAGATACTACGGCTCCTGCTCCGATTACACCCACTGCTACTGCTACTGCCGTGCCTGTACTGCACCCTCCAGTTTCCGGGCCCGGTCCTGCACCAGCAAACGTGCACCGTGTGCAGATGGACTTCAATCCTTCGATGGAGGATGAATTGGAACTCCATTTTGGTCAGCTTGTCCGGTTGTTGCACGAGTATGACGACGGATGGGCTCTTTGCACTAGACTCGACAGGTCGCAACAGGGCGTTGTTCCTCGATCCTGTCTATCTTCGCGACCTCTCAAGCCTAGGCCGCCACCAGGTCCTGGGGTCCGTGGCCCACCACCAATGGCAGCACCTGACCGTCCAATGCCCCCTAGGCCCACAACACCATCCTCGAACTTCCACCCCCACGCTGCTCAACCACAGTCACCCGCACGTCCAATGTCACCTGGCCGGCCCAGTCACGCCGGCACTATGCCTCTGCGTCTGCAGAATGGACGCCCTTTGTCCCCGGCTCAGACTCCACCTGCTCTTCGATCATTCTCGCCTGGACCAGGGCCGAGACCAATGGTTCCCAGATCAATGAGCCCTGGACCTTACGGGCTTCCGGGAATGCAGAGACCGTACATGCCGGCTAGCGAGCGGCCACGGAGCAACAGTACAGGCGCTGCTATGGGGCCTAACCCTCGGCAAGGCGGGACTGCGGCCCGCAGTCCCTTGGGAGGTCCGATAATGCCACCCGTGTCCACTATTCCCAGAGCAACGCCGACAGTAGTGGAAAGTCCCATCTCCGATCACGAAAACAGAGAGTGGTAAAGTCCCTGCCTGAGCAATGCTGGACAAACAGAGCACGAATCGTGTCTTATCGTCAACAAGAACATAACACATACTATGCAGGAACTGTCAAATATCGCTTCTGCTTCAGCAGTCCCTCATTATCCTTCTCAAACTTTGTTCATATTACCCTTCTTGGTCTTCCGCGCCTTTTTTTTTCTTTTCCTGAACAGTTATGTTATCATGATTCTCTCCAGTACGCTTCTATGAAAATGATGCAAGATACCCACCGGCGATCGTCCACGCGCAAGGCGACTGTCTGCTCGTCCTCAGGATGACAGGAGGTTCTTAAGTGATCGACATGTGAAATGCATGATATGCCATGGTCTGGATCTTTTTTTTTTTTTTTTTTTTCCCATTTCGGGGAAATCTGCTTCTCTCTCAGAGCGAGTCTCTTTCGCCCTGGTCTTTTTACAGCAGACCTCATTTCATTCGCGCTGAAATTTTTGAATGTCATCTCGATATACCACTTTGCCCCTTTGAACAGCTTTTTCATCACGAATGGTCTCCTATCTCTGGCTTCTTGACAAAGTATCTTGACTTCTACCTTATTTCTACCTGGCCCGATCATACGTCGTCCGGGCTGCAAGACAGGGGACAAAGTTGGGACAGCATGAAGAGTAGAAGGAGAAGTGCGACTTCTCATACTGGTAGTTTTGTGGAAGACTCCAGGCCCGGAAATGCTTAGATGTTGATGATGTATGTGTATGTAATGTTTGTAAATGTCGTTCGTACGCAATAGGTTCTTCTGCTTAATTCCTATGTATCCAACACGTCCAGACGAAGCTGCATGTTGGCTACGCAACCTCTCAATTTACCTACTACTCAGGAGCGCGGTAGCAGCTGAACAGAATCCTGATTAATCCAAAAAGAATATCAAAAGTCGCTCTGTCATGGAAACGAAAAAGGCCCACTTCGAGCGACTTCCATAGTCCAGGCAGCATAACTTGTCTATGGTAGTTATTCAATCGAGGCATTGCCGAGCAGAGCTACTATATAGTCCTATCTATATCTAAAGATGAGGCACCTTGCCACTCGCTAGAAGGAGGTTCACAATACTGATGATACCTTCCCCAAGAATCAAGCCCGAGGCTAAGACGACCACGGTCGATGAGGCAGCGTCCGCATCCTTGCCAGCCTGTTCCGACGTGGGTCCTGACACGCGAGGGTTACTGCCATCCGCCGCCGCGAAATCCGAGGCGGTTGTGTGGCTTGCGCCAGGATCACTGGCGGCGTATGTTGGCGGAGCCAAGTCCTGGGGCGTACGGGTGGAAACTGCGTGGCGACGAGACCACCACCAAGCGATCAAGCCTCCGATGGCCCGTGCCAGTGTGAATGAAGGTACGTTGAAGATGCCGACAGCTACGGCAATCCCACCAGGGATCCAGTCCCTCCACGGCGCGGTCACGCCGCGTTGACCCGCGTTAGCAATGGGGGAAGCAGCGACGATACGCAGGATAGTCACGACCACAAAGGCCAGCCCCGCGACCAAGGAGGCCTGCCATGCCATGGGCGGAAGGCCTTGGCCTGTGACGAGTCGGGCCGTGAAGATCCAGACATAGGCTGTAGGGGTCTGAAACATGGGCCCGGGAACCTCGTAGACGCTCACGTACATCTTGTAAACGGCGGTGGAGAGCACCGCTCCGATTAGACTACCTATCATCTGGCCGTAGAATTGCGCTTTGGGGCTTGCGCCCAATAGGTGACCGGTTTTGAGATCCTGCATCATATCCCCGGCTTGTAAAGCTCCAGACTCGGAGACTGCACCCGCAAGAAGATTAGTGACGAGCGCCGTGCGTCGAGAGAAATGCGAGGCTGGCGTTGCGAGCGAGAAGATGAGCTGTGTCAGCTTGCTGATCCCGGAGACGGGGTTAAGATCGGTTTCGCCTAATGCGCGGACTCCCATGATGGAAAGAAGTACTGCCAGTAAAGTGGCAAGACTCGATAAGAGGGGTGACATCACATCACCGAAAACGATGTGCATGCAGACAACGTTCAGGATGAGTGTTAGTGGAAATAATATGAGCACTGTACGAGTAGAAATAAGCTGCGAGGGTGGCGCATCTTCATCATCCCCATTAGACTTGGGATGAACGAGAGGCGGCGGAAAGAGACGGCTCTGGTAAGATGATTCTTCGGTGATAGGACTCAAGGCAGAGTAGTTGACGTATGAACGCTGGTGAGAACGAGACGTTACTGCTTCGGGCAACACGCGACGTCCAATGCGACTAGAAAATAGTTTGTCTTTCACTTGAGGAGCGTATGTTAGAAGTGGCCGTACCACCAGCCAGCTAAGACTGACAATGGAATCTGCAAGCATGATGGCTAAAGATACCCATACAATCCATGCCTTGCTTCCATCTTCCCAGCTGTCCACCGGGCCAGGAGCCCAGCCACGAGCTTTCGCAAGAGGTGAAAGTAAACCCCATCCCAATAAAGCACCAAAAAGCATGTGCATGCACGTAGACGGACCCATTATAATTCCCTGTCCAACATAGGCAGGCGAAGGATTGAGAGTCCACAGCCAGTTGCGAGCGAGGTAGAGCCCAAGGATGGGAATATCGCGGACTTGGGGGACAAAGTATGAAAACAATGTCTGGTTGTAATTCCCGTTAGCTGCTGATGAACATGATGCCGAAATGAAGCCTTACATATACGCCAGATACTGCGAATGCGCCCACCAAGAGACGCATCTTCGACCTCCAATCTTCTTTTTCTCTCGCCAGGTCGAGAGAATCATCCTTCAGGACTATATCGGGGTCCTCCTCCGGGCGACGCGACAACAATGGTGCTTCATCATGTTCTCGAGACTCTGGGGCCTCGCCAGCTTCACTGGGGCGGGCGTCTGTTTTCTCACTACGCCATCCGCCACCATGAAGTACTTTAAGCATTAATGCAGATGCTGTGCCGCTAGGGAATTTCAGCTTCTCCCTCACTATGACTTCTTTCCTCAAAGGAACGGCGAAAACAACGCCGAATAGGCATACCCCAAGGCTCCAGAGAACCAGCTTTCCAAAGCCAAGCTTGAGCGGGCCTCCCTCTCCCGCACCATCGCCACCGGATGGGCCATCTTGCCCATCCCTGAGAAGAAATTCCAGAGCAGGAATCACGCCGACGAAGCCACAACCGAGCGGCATTGTTCCCACGGCTCCTGCGACCGTTTGTATGAGGACATTTTCGATTGGAGTAAACGGATAAGATAAATTCTTGGAAAAGACCTTGAAGACAGAGAAGCCGATCAGTGCAGATGGCATTGCCATCGTACTGATCCATCCCGTCTGCAGGCCGAAGTAGGTGTTGGAGAATGTGATCAAGGCGCCAATGAGAATCCCGACGAGCAAGGAACGAATTGTGAAACTTTGCGCAAAGAGTTCCGATGGACTCGAGCTAGCTGCCCCAAATCTAGGTTCATCATCGTCATTCGCGGATTGGATCGATGAAACGTCCGGGGCCTGGCGGTAAGGGCCCGGGAAATTGGTGGAGGCATCGCCCGCCATACTGATGGTTTGGTAGTTCATGCGGTGCACACACACACACACACCCAACTTTCATTCCCGATTCCAATACCACGTGATCAGTCCTCTTCCATGACAGTTAAATTGAAGAGGCGTGGCTGATCATGTTGCGAGAGAAAAAGGATTGATGGGTGGAAGGGAAGGAGATAAGCTGGACGAGGATTGATAATCGGGGTAAAGCACAGACCGCCACTGGCAATGACGCGATATGACTAATCCACGATAAGATAAGCGCCTCGCGCGACAAGCACATCTCACTAGGGCAGGTAATAATATTAACACCCACCTGCTCCCGCATGACTTACTGTCTGCTCTTTTTGGGCGTTTTTGCCGTCCTTCGCTTGGGTAGACTTTTCCCGCTCCTTACGACATGCCGAAATCTTGATATCGCGGGCGGGAAAGGTGGGCCGAGGGAGGTCGCTGAGGCTGTGCGATGAAGGGACAGGTCACTAGGTGGCTAACTACAACGATAGGCATATCCGACATATCCAGCGTATATTCTTGATGCAGTAGCAAGTTAAGCGGGTTGGTTCCACATCTCGTCCTACACTATTGCCAATGTCAAGCCCATCGTACTTGACTCACTCACCGCATGTTTGGCGAAACGGACTAACAGCGTTTAATGCAAGGGACGCTTGGTTGGGTTAGCAGGGGAGAGGCGATTGGGCAATTGTGTCCATGGCAATGCTAGAGACCTTAAAGCAAGAACAAATAGATATATTCTTCCCACTGCATAACTCCTCAAACGCATTGTGCAATTGCTAGTTTTGTATCAAAGGCACTAAATTGGAATCCTTTTACAGCAATGGTTTCACTCCTCCAGCGCTTCGGCTTATTGCGACTGAGTGTCCAGTTGTAAGTAAACAAAGGCCCCATCTTATGGTGTACTATTTGCACCAGAGGTTTTCGACCACCAATAACCCTTCCCTGATGCCAGGTTCGTCCAAACCGCAATATTTGGGCACGAACTCTATTCTGAGTCCGAAAGAAGCTGCTTCAGTCTGCTCAAAGGCGTGAGCAAAACATATGCAGTGTGCGAGTATATGCATCCTGAGTTACGCCTTCCACTATGCATCTTCTATCTTGTCTTGCGGGGCTTAGATACTATCGAGGATGACATGTCAATACCCATCACTACCAAAGTACCTCTTCTCCGTGGGTTTGGCGACATCCTGGACATTGACGGTTGGACCTTCGACGGTAACCGACCATCAGAGAAAGACCGGAACTTGATGCTCAACTTTGATAACGTGATTTCTGAACTCAAGAGGCTGAACCCCAAATATCAGCTTATCATCAAGGGTGTAGCTGACAAAATGGGTAAAGGGATGGCAGATTTCTGGGAAAAGGGAGACACGAATGCATTTCGGATTGAGAGTATCCATGATTATGATCTCTACTGCTACGATGCTGCTGTCAGTGTTGGAGAAGGGGTCTCGCAAATGTTGATTGAAGCGGGCTTTGCAACATCAGAAGTGATGAAGCACGACAAAAGCGTGGCACTATTTTTTCAGAGAGTAAACGCCATCCATGATGTGAAAGAAGACTATGATGACAATCGCCAGTTGTGGCCACGTGAAATCTGGTCTAAATACGTTGACACCTGGGACGACTTGTTCAAGCCGGCGAACAGACAGGCAGCGCTCAACTGCGCATCCGAAATGGTTCTTGATGCGCTTGAACATGCTGAAGGCTCTATTCTGTTTTGTTCTGGTATTACCGAGAGATCTGCCTTCACTTGCACGGCTATGACAGTTCTAAAAGCTGTCATACTACTCCAACTTTGCCTTTGCGACGAGGCTCTATTTTGCCACGAGATTCCCATACCAGATCAGCAAAAGCTCGAACTGAAATCTCTCCTTGTTTCAGATTGCCGACAATTCTATATTATGTTCCGAATCCATATTCAGTGTATACGTCGGAAAGCCGATGCGTCGAGTACACAGAGTCACAATATCTCTAAAGTGTGTGAAAAGGTACGTCGAAGCGCCTTTCTCGTATTTGATGAGAGAACTATAGTTCCGCTGACTTCAAATATTGCAGATTGAAAAACAAATTGGAGATATACTCACAGGTCATTGAACTGTACTAACGTATTCGGGCCGATTCATCCCTTGGACCAGGCTGTCACCCAACAACGGCATGATCGAGTGGATACTCTCTCTAACGTGGAGTGCGTTCATTGCTTCGGCACGCCCGCATCCATCTGCTTGGCCGTCGAAGGTCCGCCGCTTACGACGGCACAAAAAATCCATTCTGAGACCCTCTGAAAAAGTCGTACTCGCGTTGTTGGCCCCTGCAAACGATCTTCAATGGGAAACGGCGAGAAACCGACCTGGTTAGCATATCACTGCGGCCGTCTTTCTTATCTAACAAAAACAATGAATTTAGGCCTGAAACCTACTGTATGCTTCCCAAAAACCAGCACTGTATGCGATCAGGTATTCAGAATCTTCCATGAGGTACTGCTATTTTGAGATTGTAGTTCTCATCCTCCGCTTGCAAGAACTGAATTCAGCATGCTCCCAAGATCGCCTGTAGGGACTGAAATAGAAGACGGTAACAAAAAGAGTCGGCCACCATTACATGGTGTATGGTATCTTGCTACGTATCTGGCCTAAGATGTGACGTAGCACTTTAGCATTTTCCTGTCAGGTAATTTCACTTGCGATAATAGATCCCGGCGAAGTTGTAATTCCTGTCTGTAATCTGATTGTATTTCCGCTTTCTGGCCCCTCCCGGCTAGGTTATCGAGCACTTGTTTGTGAAATCTGAGATCTTGCCATTCAACATTCCCGTGACATAGAGAGTTCTATGGTGCTCTAGCTCTGGAAGGCTCCAAGGGCACTACTGAAGGCCTGCTCTACCGCGTCGAGCTGTGGAGCAAGCGCCTGCATTTGTTCATTTGGCAGCTTCTTCTCCAATTCTGCTTGAAAGTCGTTCTTTCCTTTGTGCAGTTTCATTAGAAGTGCCTGGGCAGCAGACGTAGCGCCAGTTTGCTTTATGATATCAGCCTAAATCGCTCACCATACCTCCATCGTCAGTGCCTGTGGTAAGATAAAATCAAAGTTGACAGGGGGCAGAAAGCAATTAACGAGTTCAGGAAGCCGGGTAGAGACATACTTTTTGCTCTGCAGCTTTCAGTCCACTCATCAGTATGGGTATCGTGGGATTGATCGCATCCAGGGCCTCGGCACCGTCTTCGCGGGAGATTGGTTCTGAGTCTGCAAGGGACAACCGAGTCTGCTCGTATTGGTCGTAGGCCTTGTATATGGTGTGCATCACGTTGGCCCCCTCTATGAGCCCTCCATTGTATCCTTGGAGAGCGATGTTGGCGGCGCTGGTTCTCTCCTGGCAACCCTGGAACTGCGAGAGGATGTGGGACATTGTTACCCCAGCAAATGCTGGAGACGCTGCCAAAATAACAAGAAAAGCGACGGATTTGATGTATAGCATGATGATATGCAGAGGCGAGTAGAGCCAGAGAGAGAGATAGAGTGAGCTCAGACCATACCGGGAGTGGTTCTTATCCTTATGTACCCTATATAGGGGAGGTGGTAAAGTATAAATGCCAACAACTACTACTACAAAGAATAACGCACCTTGCATCCTTTGTCTCTCAAAGACAATGTAACATGTTTTAGTGTGAATATTATTGATCTTTTTAAAGGATATACGGTCCGTTTGTACCTTCTAGCCAAGCCTTGCCCACAGTGCCGGTCTTTCGGGTTCAGAGATGATCCAGCCCCTTGCTTCTCTGATAATATGACCTCACTTGTGATCGTCTTCCCTTCCGCGAATGGTATATCCTACGCAAGATACGCAGCGTAAATTGAGGAACTGATTGAAAACAGATTCTGTTGCTCGCTATCTTTGTCTACCATTCGTGGTTTTGGAATGTCCGCATAAATGATATAAAAAGACGCCCAGTAATCCGATTTCGATGTGTGCTTCCGTAATATTTCCGTCAATAAGTTAGAGTCTTCAGGTGTGAACTTGCCACATTATACTATCAAGGGCGAGGGGAAAAAGCCCAATTTTCTGTAATATCAAACGTTGGATCAAACTATTGTTACTAAGGGCTTCTTAAAGCCGGGAAAATTGTTAAGGACAGATTGTTACTAGAATGAAATATTAGAGCTATATCAGTACCTGAGATATAGAATCTAAGTAATTAAAACTTCGAGTAGACTATCTTATTTCCCTGAACAAATCTAATTATAGGCCTTATACTTGATGACTAGTAGATAACTAAACTATCTGCCTAATGATTATCCTATATACAGTGGAAGTAGAGTATTCAGTTTATCTAGAAATATGTGAAGATGTTAGCAAGATCTACTTTGATTAACTGAATATCTTAAGCGCCGTCTTTCTGAATGATAAGGATCAGGTCTATACTAAACAACGATTTGAACAACTGTGGCCATGTTAATGATTATCTGGATGCCCTTGCAGAAGAGGATCGAAATCAGAATCTGCTTTTCAGCCCATTGAAGAAACTGTAGAGGAAACACAATTGAACAGACACATAAGCGCCAGGTCCAAACCACAAGCCACAGCGTAGGATATGTCTTCCAGTCCCCATAGCCGATCTGGGAAGCTGACACGGGCCAATGCTTACCAGATTGATGACTTGATGCCAAAGCTGACCAAGGGGGCGAGACCTGTAATTTCAGTCAAGATATAAATGGGATGATGAGATATGATCGTGTTCTATGTGCTTGTTCTCCCGGGGAGTTAATCCATGAGGCAAAGATGTCGGGTGCAGCTGAAGAGTGGCGATGGTTAGCTGAGGAAACAGGATCTCATACCAAGAAGGAAACTTGAGGACCGACCATAACTTCATTGTTATGGTTTGCAGGCATATCGAGCAACAGTTACCGCTGCACAGTCGGCATGCATTGACATTACCTTTGGGACAATTGCTGTCCGAAGCTATTATGGCCAACACTGAATGATATACGAAAAGTCTCTGGGAACTAGATGTCAATCCCTGTTACCAGCAGCCCGCCGAGGTAGCACAATGAGGCAGGGGTTTGATTCATTCACAATACACTTTGTAAGTACAATAATTGGCACATAATTCACATTCCATGCTACCCTGAATCCGATACCGGGATGGAAGGGTCTTCGACCTGGTCAGCCTATAGATTATGCGTGTATTCCAATCAGGGTCAATACCATAGCAATATAGAGGAGCAAGCCACTAGCCTGACTGGCAATGGGTTAGCTTGCTTGGTGAAGTAATCATGGTGGCATGCATCTCCGCATTGACATTATTGGTGAATTCATGGATCGACAAGCGGGACTGGGGATGCATGGCGTGAGAAATCTTCTGCATCAGGCATATGGCGTCAAGATCCGGGAGGTTATATAGAATATACCCCGAATAATGAACTCTAGCCCTGAAAATTAGCTGTTTACTCTTCATAAGTATCTATATAGTTAAATTTTGACAGTATAAGTTTCTTCATTTATAGATTTTATAATTGAACTCTTATAACAACCAGATCCTCAGCTGTTAACGCCTCGTCCTCACTCACATCTACGAATCCAATCTCGGCTATCGCGTAGAATGCATCATCTGCATTGTAAGTGAATTCGCTGTCGGGACTGGAGACACTGCCCGCCAGGCTACTAAGTGGTTGATGACTTGATCCAAGGGTTCAATGAGTATCAGCACCGCGTGCAACGTATGAAGACAAAATACTATTACGCCTGTGATTGTAATGAATAGCGAGAGGTTCGGAGAAAGGAAGGGTCGTCTTGATATCTTGTGGTCTGGTCCCACCGTGGCCTGAATCCAGTGAAAGAAGCCCTAATTTGAAGAATAAATGACCATGTTATCTGCAACCACCTTGCAGGATACGGGGTATGAACTAGAGTTGGAATTGATAATACATAACAGATCAAAAATCCACACAGGAATATAAATGGATAGTTATGACTTTTGCCATTGCGAATTGCAGCGATCCACGATGCGCTGGCTGGGAGAGCACTCCACCATCACAATATGCCCATTCTGCATGGTCGTATTTCATCATCTTAGCAGATTAAACCCCCCCCAAATCTAAGAGAATGAATGAACGAAAGAGCTTTTGCACGATGTAAATCTGACATAAACTATTATTTCCGCTTCTGCTTCTTCTTCCCCTTGGGCACCCGGGCCAGCCACTACAGCCCCAACGCCCCCACCACGTTGAAGGCGACGTACGCGCACATAATGCCAGAATTGCGCTAAAGTAATCGGACACCCAACCGGCGCGACACCGAACCGCCGTTTTCCTATATAATTACCACTATAAAAATGGCAAGTTTATGATTTTTCAATTACAATATATTAGCAAAAGTAATGTAGTAAATTATGATATATAAAGCTAGATAAGGTATATCATAAAGAGGATTTCAGCTATATTACCTTAGAATACAGTATAAAACATAGTATTATCTCTTGATTTATGTAGCTTTGCTAGACTGTAGGCAGTGTATTTAAAGTATAATATACCTGAATTATCTGTAAATCTTTATAAGTTAGGGAAACGACGGTTCGCTGTCGCGCCGGTTCCCTGTCCGATTAAGTTACTACTAGCGAGTACCGTAATCCGAATGAATCGCTGCCAGATACGTATTTGTCGCCATCACCTTGCAATAATGGCAATCACTCATAGCATTCCTGGTCGACTACCTGGCCGACGATGCTCGTCAGTTCGAAGTCTGCGAGAAGAAGTAGAAATGATTTGGACTGGCAAGCAATAGCCGGGGGCTGGCTTGACGTGCTGGGATTTGGGACAATCGTGCACATACGACCACAGGGTGTGGAAAATAGGGCTTCCCGTCCGCTCAGCCGTACTCAAGCCACACGCCGGGAAGTTAGTAGTTGGGTGGGTGACCACCAGCGAATCCCTTCTGTTGTATGTTTTTGTATTTCTTTCAACATACTTGTTAAGTCGGGCGAGTGTGTGCCCCTGCCCGCTTGAATCTCTTTTCAGTCCCTGTGGTTGCAGGTAGGTGACCAGGCCTCAAAATTTCGGTCGCGCGCCGCCACGAAATGCACAGGGAAGCCCTGAATAACACTGAAGTCCTGAACGGATCACGGGGCCACTCGGCTAAACCTGCCGTGCTTCGTGTTCTTCCTTGTGACACAGCATTGAACTTAGCCTCCAGCTCTCACAGCCTTGGTTTTGGGAGCCTCGAAGAGAATTTGATTCAGTTCGCCTGCTGTACGCAGATATGAGGCACCCACCCTGACAACTGGCCCTGAAATTAAATCTCTCATTCTGAAGCACTTCTGTCAAGTTGAGATGACCGTATCAGAACCTCTTCGTGATTGATCCTACGGTATCAACATGAGAAGAACTAGTATTTGTGACAGCTGTCGGAACGGACCGCTGGCACCATCGTCATTCCAAACACTTTTCCAAGGGGGATTAAACCACCAGACACGAGGCAGGGGCTTGAAAAAGGCTCGAGGAGTGGATGCGGACTATGCTATCTCTTCTTGGAGGCTTGTCAAACTTGTATGGAAGGATCACCCGGTGAGATGAAGTTTCAATTGATGATTCGTGAACATACTTCACTCCCGACAGAAGCAAGAGTCGGGAATTCAGCAACGAACTTTCTTCGTCCCATCAACCCAGAGCACGTACAGGAGTTGACGATAAATGCCGTGGGGGGATCAAGGAGTAGATCCTTTTACCTCTATACCGAGAGAGGTTCGCGTCATCGAATTTGAGTGAGGTTCGCCCCGTAACTGACAATGCAGAAAATCCCGCCGCAACGGAGATTGTCGCCAGACCACCCCTTCTTGATGTAGGCTCCTTTGCAGCATTCAAAGAGATCAAGGAAACAATTGACGAATGCGTCACAAGCCACCCTCACTGCCCGGTCCCTCCTGCCAATCAGCCGCTGCCTACGCGAGTTATTGATTGCCAGGACCCCACACGACCTCGTCTATGGCACAGCGGAGGGAAGGTCGCACCATACATAGCCTTGAGTTATGTCTGGGGTGAAGCGCAGCCATATTGTACTGTAAAGAAAAACCTGAATTGCTATTCGGCTTCTGGAATAGATGCAACCACACTTGGCCAAACCATCCGGGATGCTATTCAAGTCACAGCTAGCATTGGAATCCGATATCTATGGATCGATGCCTTGTGTATAATCCAGGATTCCAAGACCGATAAAATTCGAAAACTCACCCGCATGGGGTCGATCTATCGACATGCATATTTGACTTTGATTGCCTCGAGCGCCCACACCGTCAGTGCTGGATTTCTGCAAACTCGCGCCCTCGGCCCTGAGTACGCGCAGCATGTTCAACTTCCGTTCCACTGCCGCGACGGGCGAGTGGGTAGCGTATATGCATACACGCAAGAGCAACCCTGGCTGGTTTATGATGCCCTTCAAGAGCCAGTCAACACTCGTGCGTGGTGCTTCCAGGAACGTTTGCTGTCACCACGAATATTGGCTTACGCCACCAATTCCATCCAGTATCACTGCCACACTGCTCAAGCGGACATTAAAAATGCAGTCAGCAGCAGACCGGTCGGCGAACAACTCGACGCAGTCATGTTCGGAACCATCGAGAACATTGATCCGTTGTCGCACCTGGCTACCTGGAACAAATATGACTGGGACGGCCTGCATGAGCTGTGGCGGATGATCGTTGCAAACTACACATGTCGCTCGCTCACAAACCCTGAAGACAAATTGATAGCCTTTTCCAGTGTTGTGGTGGAGTTTGATCGAGTGTGGCGAGTCAAAGCAGGTCAATACTTGGCGGGGCTGTGGGAAAAACGCTTACCTAGTGATCTCCTTTGGGTTCGCACTCAGGCCGAGGACCCGAGAGGGTATGATTTACTGCGGCCTCGGCCAAAGGGATCATTCGCCCCGACATGGTCGTGGGCATCGACGGACGGACGTATTCTCTCCGATCAGTCTCAGTGGGACGAACTACATACTGACTGCGAAGCTGATTGCAAGGTCTTGATGTGCAATGTGACTCCGTGTGACGAAAATCTGCCGTTTGGTCAGGTGAGCAAGGCATCTCTGTCCTTGCGCGCGCAAGTTTTACCTACACCATGGGTCTTTCTGCCTGGCCAAGAGCCAGAAGTATTTTGGAGCCTGTACATGCCTAGTCCGCGCTTACGTGCACAACTCAAGGCCACAGACATAAATAATGCTCCCATTGTTGGAAAGATATCTCAAGCGGGCGACTCAATGGAAACCACCGTCAAGCACGTTCATTTCGACGCCAGTCGGTTTCACGGAGGGTGTATAGCCTTCGAGTGCGGTATGGTCGCAGATGATACATTACTGCACTATATGGGTGATATTACTATCTGGTTTGATACCTCGGACCCCTTCCCACCTGAGCAAGCAAGTGCCATTGTTGTCAAACGATGGGAAGTGCCTGGGGACCCAGGTGCGGATGGGCTTCTACTTGTTGATATTGGCCACGGACAATTTGAGAGGATTGGGTGTTGGAAGTCATTTTGTCAGTTGTCGAGAAGAGCTCACAGTAATTTTGAAGAGCCCTTGCCTCAATGGTATGAAATGAATAAAGAACCTCGGACAATCGAATTGATCTAAGCCCCTCGCGGTGCTACACATACAGTATGATACAGTTTCTCGAGATATTTACCCACTTGAAACCGGGTAAGTAGGGGATTTGCTATAGAATTTTTGGTTACATTATAGTTTCTGAGAATCTTGGAAGGTGGTCAGATAGGTAGATCATGTAACGCAGTTAATATGTAGTTTCAGACATAGTATTCGAATATAGTGTTACAAGCACTCGGATATTTATACTATTCTAGTAATAGAGTCTGATAGTCTTACTGACTTAGTAATAACTTGAAATCTAAATATAGCTAAGTATACTAATACACAGAGTATCTATCTTAGATATACTAACTATACCCTGACTCAACTTAATCTACCTAATATGGCTATGTATCTTGATACTAATAGGATATATATCCCTCAGCTTATATACTAGATCTAACTACTAACCTTGAAGAACATGCTGACTGGCTTGGATAACCTATTGACCAGCAACCTACAGCCACTCTCTACACGAGTATCTTCAAGAACGTCAGCTCCTCTGCCACTGTGTATGGCCTAGCCACTAATATCATTAATCATAATACCTAGACAATATCTTCCTGCCATTTATATATCTTGGGTAATAGTATTTATAATGAATGATAGTATATTAATATAATTACCCTACTTCTATAAGCATAGGGCTTTAATACTTACTTCATCATTGATATTAGTATGTAATTTCTGCTACTATGAATGCAACAGCCCTTAGCTAATATCCATACCAAATTCCAGGCTGTAACAGCAAATCAACTACTAGTTATATAGTAGTGCTATTTTGAACGATTGAATAATAGCCAGCATTGACGATCCTATGTAACCACATTCAAGGGATTTCCCTTGCACCACTCCTCTACTGACAGCTTCAGCCGTTGTGAGTAATTTACCATCGTCCTCTGTGCTAGCCAGGCCAGATGAGGTGTCACAATTAGGTTCAGTCCGGCTGTTCCCTCTGCGAGCAAAGGCGAGTTGTCTGGACTTGCGGGCTCCTGGAAAAAGACATCGGTTGCTGCTCCAGTTATCCTATCTTCCTTTAGTGCCTTAACCAATGCGCTCTCGTCTATAACTCCCCCGCGAGACACGTTAATCAACACAGCATGTGCAGACATGGATTCGAACTCAGCAGTCGATATGAGATTTCGCGTCGAGTCTAAGAGAGGAACAGCCACGAACAAAGCTGTGCTCTGCTGAATGACCGTCTCGAATGGAACTCTTTCAATGCCATCAGCGGCGTTGCTTGTTGACTTCACTTCACCAAACTGCTTGCGATCGGCGACAATGACCTTCATCCCTAACCCACGCGCCAGATGAGCAATTCTCCTTCCTATTGCTTTTTGTTAGGCCTGTTATGCTGGACTCAATGCAATACCAGGATGGCAGCTCACCAACAGCACCGTTGCCAATAATGCCGGCCACTTCCTCCTGACAAGTTAAGGGTGGCGTGCCAGCCTTGTTGAGAAAGTCAAACATCAGTGTCTTTCTCCGAGGCCATTCGCCGGCTCTCGTCAGTGCGTTCATCCCCATGATCTTCCGGCGTGCCGCCAAGTGAAGTGCGATGGCGTGCTCCGAGACGGATTCGGTATTTGCTCCTGGGATGTAGGAGACGACAATGCCTCGTTTTCGGCATGCCTCCAAGTCAATGCAATCGGTGCCCACGGCCACGACCATGACAAGCTTTAAATTTGGGCTGACCTCCGGGGAAAGGGCATTTGCATCGATTCGTAGAGCGGACAAGACTATAACTGAGGCATCACGAATGCGCTCGTGGACCTCTGAAAGCAACGTCTGCGGGTAAATTGTCTTGGTGTAAGTGTGAGGGGCGGGAAGGTCAAAATCGAGGATCTCAACAAAGTCGCCCTGTAAGTAGACGATATGATGATGAGTAGAAGAAATATGTGCCATCTTGAGTGGCGGGTGGATGGTTTCGGATGAGGAAGAGAATTTCAAGCAAGAACGAACTGCTTTGTCGTCTATATGGGAAAGTGTCGACTTTTTATACCAAATCTTACATCTTCCCCTCATCGAAAGTTGTTTCCGCGCCTTATCGATGACATCTGACCCACTGTACCGGTCCAGCGCGCGGGTTCCCATCGTCATCATCTTTGGATAAGTTATTAGGTCTGCGTTATTCACCAACAAGCTTCTCGGATGATATGCAACTGGTTGGGCCCCTTTCTAGAGATCCAGGATATTCCATTCAATTGCTTATCCCAAAGTACTATCCAATTGCCTACAGCAAGGATCGGGTCTCACTCTCCACCAAGATGCCCCGGAAATAGCAAGTCAAATCAGCAACATCCTCCAGCTCACCCATCCATCCGATATATTGATCAGGTCGCATGACAATCAAGGCCCCTCTCAGTCGGTTCACACCCCAAGTCTCATACCCTTTTCCGTCGGACTCTTGACCCCAGTCACAAGCACCATCGCACCATACCTTGGTAAGGTCACAGCCCTCAACCTCGTCGAAATGATGCACGATGCTGGGAAACATGTTCAACTCTACAGCCTCATAAGGTGCGCTGTGAATAGCCTTGATATCGACAATTGACTCGGGCTTCTCTTTTTCCGAAATCAATTGTTTGCAAAGACCCGCCAACCTCTCGCCGCAAGCCCATACGCGACCTGCTTGCTGCTTCGATCGCAGGTCTCCAGTCAGAAGCAGGATGCGAAATCGGCCATCACTTTCTAGGAGCCTCGTGGTCCATAAAGGCACACCGTTGGCTTGACTTCGAAGTCTCACGGGAAGAAGTTTCTCGCCCGGTGAGAGATGCTGAGCTACTGTCTTCGATTGTTTGCAAACCAATGGACTGGCGCAATAGTACGATGTGTGTCCCTGTGCGAATTGTTCGGTTTTGCGCAGAATATCTCGCATCGCTGCCAGTTTCGCCTGCGCTGGGCCTTCATTCTGCTGCTCTTGCTGCAGAAAGAATGCAGACCATTGACGATCAAAATCAATGAGCATTTCAGCCAAGGGATAACGCTCGGACTTGTAGGTGTCGATGATCGAAGGGTGGGCAAGTCCTTTTGCAACAAGGGCGACCTTCCAACCGATGTTGAACCCGTCCTGCATGCTCATATTCATGCCCATTCCTATTTTAGGCGAGTGCGTATGAACGGCATCTCCAGCCAAGTATACACGACCCTTTGCGTTCGTCTGTGCGATTCTCCGACCAACCTGAAGATGAGAGCCCAAACGGCAAACATTATCAATGTGGTTAGAAATGAAGCAGGAGGTGAACGTACCTGGTATACAGTCCACCAAAAACAAATTCGAAAGTCGAAATGAAAAGGACTCAAGATCTTCTTCACTCTTTGCCGAATCGATTCCAGTGTCACCGCCGACCGATCGAATTCCCGCAGAACCTCGAATTCTTCCTGCAATGGGACGTAGATCCGTACAATGTTTTCTTCTCTTGGAATAATAAGTATTGTTCCTGAGGTGTTCGCCACGGTTCCAGCCCGGCGCATGTCCGCTGCAAGCTACATTAGCAAGAATCCACGCACACATGCAGGTATGCAGACTTACGGTAATTAGTGATGGGGACGATGTCAATGACTCCCCTAGGACATACCTGTTAGCTCCAATTCGCAGCTCTCTAGACACAACAGACCGTCATTCGCCTACCATATGTGGTCTGTTGTCGAGCCCTCGAAGGGAATGTTTAATTGTTTTCTTGTCCAGCTATGCGCTCCGTCACAGCCAATCACATATCTAGCTTTCAGCGTCTCGACAGTCCCGACCTTATTCCTGCGATGCTGGACCGCATCCTTCAGATCATCTGCTTTCAGGAGATGATGGAGGAACTTGTCCGAGAACCCGTGCCTCGGTGCTGGGGATGCTTCTTTCTCACTAAGTGTCCTCAGTTTGAGCGTGATCGGGTACGCTTGTGGATTGTTCTCGAGACCTTCGTCGTATTCAAACGACTCGGCAAGAACACCCCTCTCCACCTCGAGGCTGGAATGTTCCTTGATGGCGTCTAAGAGAAATCGCTCGATACGACCCTGATTCAGCGCAACTATAGCGTACGGCGGATGTAGTTCCATGTATGTGGTTCCTTGGCGTCTCAATTCCCCGGTCTCATCAGGCGCCTGTTTCGTATCGGTCAGTCTGGGTAAACTAAGTCCTGCGCAGCAGAGAAATGGCCGACCCAGTTTGTCATGCTGAACATTTCACATCCTTCTTGTAGGACCCGCTGGGCCACGCCCATGCTATCGAGCAGCTCCAAGGTTCGGCTCCTGAGTCCATCTGCATGGCCTCTGAAGATCTTGGTGCCCCGTTTGTCGATGACCCGAGCGTTGACGCCATAGCGCGCCATCCAATAGGCTGCCATCAGCCCTGACGGGCCTGCTCCAATGATAAGCCTGTTCAACAATGAGTGCCATTTGATTGAGAAGAGGGGAGAATCAATAATACACATCAGTGGTAGACTCAATTGACTCGGCCATGGCAGGGTAAAGTGGGTTTCAGACACCTCGAGGTCTATCGTTCGAGGCAACTTGAAGGTTATCGGGTATCCTTGAACCACACCTAGTAGCTGCGACTTTATATTCTTATCAATAGTCTTCTGGTTTCATGAACTGAATCGATCTGCTCCACCATATACAGAATATGGGCTGATAACGACCGGGCTAATTGATTATAATTGGTTAGTGGGTTGACTCATCAATCAATGCGTTGTCTTCTGTCATCTATGGTCTGCTTAGCCTACCTACTGCAAGTTCCAGGCTCCCTCTTAATGTGGGTTGAAAACAGGCCCGTTCGGCTGCGGGGTATTGAATGAAATGAAAAAAAGAAATTCATGGTGTGTGTCTTCTTAACGAGTTTGAGCACTACTAGTCTCAAGCAACGTGCATTAGTTCGACATCAAGTGGTTTGAAACTAGTGCTGTGCTGACACATCTCAAAGGCAGCGTATGTTGAGACCATAATTGATGGCATGGTTTAATCAGTATGCCGAATCAGACCTCGCACCACAAACGGCGTATAGTAGTTCCAGCACATACACCTCATTCTTCTGCATATCAATATGCTGCTTAACGCTTCAACCGGACTAACGGCCATGACGTCCCAGTCAGGCTTCTCTTTCTTCATCCCTCGGCAGAGACGCGCTGCGCCTGAACATGTGGCTGGAAACCCGCACCACCACGATCATGGAATGCGGCGAACACGACTAACCCTGCCGAAGAATGCTTATGGCAGATACGTACTACATGAAGGAGTCAAGATCGTCAGGGGGTCATACTTGTTCCGGTACGATCCGTGGACGCGTCCTCGATGCTCGATCCCCTTGGAATGTGGAAGCTTGACTTATGAATGGACAAGAGAATGATTTCCCCGGAATGCTGACATTCAAATGTTGAAATAATGCACCTGACACATTCTTTCCTGTGGAAGGTGCGGTGAAGAAAAGTTCGTTTGCGTCAATCTTTGTAAATATCTCGGGGCTGGTATACCAGCCAAATTGGCTCTATAAGAGATGGTCAAGATCGCGAGGAAGTGGGAAGACAGGGCAAACAATCAGGATCTCATTCAGCATCTACACTGATACCAAGCATTGCTACAACCCATTATATTGTCAGTCGCTGGCTGAAGCTCAAGCTCTTTGCAACTCAATTGTTTCAACCTTTTATACTCCTTCAAGTAGATACACCACCCATATATCGACCGTCACCATGCAGTGGTCTACCGTAAGTCCTCACCATCCTCACCATCCTCCAACAGTCAGCCTCCCAACTAATCGAAAACCCCCCTCGGTTTAGATCACCACAATCCTGACTCTTCTCCTCCTCAACACCTCCCAAGCCTCGGCCTTCAGCATAGCTCGAGTTTGGGCCAGCTTCTACTCCGAGTGTCCCTCCGACAACTCGGCCAGCACCCCGACGATCCCCGACGACACGGACGAACCGAGCAGCAGCAGCAGCAGCAGCAGCAACGACAACATCCTTGCCCATTTCTTCGCCTCCTTCTTCCAACGCACCGACGACCAATCCGCCACCGTCGTCGTCGACGTCTACTCGGGCACCTGCCAGGCCTTCCCCGTCGGACGCCGCTACGATGCCGACGCCCTCGCTTTCAACGCCGAAGCCGTCTACACCGGTCCCTACGATCGCTGCAACATTACCGTCCACGAAGTCCCCGGCTGCGTCGATAAGCCCCTAATCGAGGTTCCCATTCAGGACGGCAGTGCTGAGTCCCAATGCACCGAGCGCGTGTTCAGCTCCCTCTCGCAGATGTGGATCCTCTTGCACTGCGAGACCGATAAGAAGTCGTCGTCTTCGGTGGGCGGCAGCAGCAGCAGCAGCAAGATCAGCAGTACCAGCAGCGGGGGCCAGCAGACACCTTCGCAGCAAGCGCAATCACAAGACCAGTCGTCGTCGTCGTCGTCGTCGTCGGCGTCGGCGTTGTCGGATCCCACCACCCCCAATATCCCCGATATCCCCAATATCCCGGCCATCCCCGACATCCCGAAGCTGCAACCCACGATCTTCTCCAAGTTGCACGCTACACTAGAAAACGCCACCGCTACCAATGCCACCACCCTGGGTGCTATCGGGGCGAACTCTACAAGCCGGGTTCTGTCGCGCACGATGCGTCTGCGGCGCGCCGCGCGCAATCGGCTGTCGAACTGGTGAAACTCTTTTCCGGGTTTTGACCATTGTACGTACCACTTGGCTTGTGCATTTATTATGTATTGTATGTATTTCTTGGTGAGGCGTTTTGCACTTATTCATATTGTCTCCGATGTTTAGCGATTCGTTTATAGTGTGGCGTCGAGAGAGGGTACAGTGTGAGAAGATAAATAGAATGTTATGTATCATAGAGCTTGGAGAGTTGAACAAAAGCTATCATCTTACATCACGGCCGCCTTTCCAGGCTCGGATTTAGGTCGATCTTTAGAATACACGTATTGCAGACGCGGCAATTCTTCCCCATTCATTTTTGAACAACTCAACAAAGATAAACGCGAATCTTCGGAAGCCACAGGCGACCGATCTGTACAATGTAATGCTTAAGCGCGTAGCATAACGCCCATAGCTGTTAAGCATGAACTAAAAGCCAAAGCTGTCGAGGAGGGAGTTTGCGTCAGGTTCGTGGAACATCGTTGGGGGCGGTTTCGGTGTCTTTTGCGACTCAGCCAGGGGTTGCGGTTTCAGTGCCAGGCGCTCCTTGACCGGCAAGTCTGCCACCACGAGACTACTCCGCCGTCGGAGCAACTTGCGGTAATCAGGTTCCTCCTGTTGCAGATCCATTGGTATGGCTTTCGTCGGTTTGGGAATGGGTAGTCCACCCAAAAACTCCCAGTGTCGAACTAAATCCAGTGCGAGAAGGTCACAGCCCATGCGGTCATATAGGCGGGCGTTGCGGATTACAAAATTCCATTCCGCCTGCGGTGAGATTTTCGATGCACCCTTAAGTGTCTGCAAGGTCTTCTCGCGGAGTTGTTTGTAAAGGTGGACCAAGGCAGGGTCATTCGAGAGATACGACTTGGCCTGAAGTGGAATCATTCCTGGAGATCCAGGTGAAGAGGGAGTAGGAAGTATCAGCGATTCAATGGGCGACTTTAATTATTAGCATGAATTGTCACTTTGTCCTTGGGGGAAGACTCACAATAAGCGATTGAACGGCCATTCCACGACGTCCTAACATCCAGAAAGCCCAAGATGCCATCCATCGATTGCCATCGGCAGTAGCCTCAGGAAGCACTCTGTCCTCAAGAAGCTCCTTGAGAACGGGCCCATCATCACCTTCATAAGCGCGGGTTATCGCGATCGCAAGTTGTAGATCGCCCACTTGATTCACACAAACAAGCGCAGCGTCACGTATGTGCCCGGCAAGTAAAAAGAAGGCGGCAGCGTATTCTAGCGGAGGTTAGTCAAAATCACGGTTTACGTGGCGGTGTTGGCACGAGTGCTAACCGAATCTCCGTTTACCAAGTAGAGCATATGCGTTTTTCAGGGCGGCTGTCTTCCACCGCGGTTCGTCGAAGTTATTCGATAGCAAGCGTTGCGTTACAGCTTGCTCACGATGCCAATGCGCCATGCGCCAGAGTCCTTGGAGAATATTCTTCTTCCGGAGAGCAAGATAGTACAAAGAGCAATCGACCGGGTTCTTCTCCTCGGTTTTGGTGTACTCATTCCGAGCAACAACCTCTAACTGAGCGCGCTGATACCCATTAGTTTGACGCGGAAAATTATCAAGTATGATACCTTTACTTACCACGGCAGCGGCGCTGGATAGCCACATAAAAATCCCGCTTTCACGAGCTGACTTCCAGACCAACTTCCCACTATACTGTCGCGAGACTAAGTCAACGAGAATATCCTGGCTTCCGCTGAAGAAAGCCCACACAATCTCTCTCCATGACACTGTATCCCTGGTGGCTACTCCCTGAGTCCTGCGCAGCAGATGTTGCCGGAAGAAGAGGAGATATCGAGCGGCGTTGTCGTCCATTGAGCGTCGGTGTTTCTCAACGGTAGCCACACATTCAATGGTATCAACAAGCCGGAATTGTTCTTGGCTAGACAGTTGCGGCAAGGCAAATCGTGCCAAGTTCTCGTTGAGCGCCACAGCTGTATTCTCATCCACCACCGTCACTTCGTCCTCCAATGAAAGGTCGGCATATGACGAATTGAGTTCTTTCGATGTTGCGCGTTGCGGAGTCTGGCCATATTAGCAATAAGCTTGTGTAAACAACAGGTTGAAAACGTACATCATGCTCAAAATAAAAGTCTTCCAGAGGCATTTCCAGAAACCCGTCGACATCGTCTCCTTCGGTGTAGAATTTCAGTTTTCGATGAAGGTTTAATAAAATGGAGTGCACCAGGTTTGTTTTTCCGCTCAGTATACACTGGGCTAGGAATTGTGGGTGGAAGACAGGTAACGGTCCGTTCAGTCTGCTCACGACCTCAAATAAGTCAACTGTAGATTGGCCCCGAGCAGGTATACGAAGCTGCGATATTAGGTGATCAGCAGCACTGATCTCATTCTCATAAATAAATAGCTGGTTCCCGGCTCCGATAGCAAGATGGCCATTGCTAAGCCAGCAGGAGTCCCCAATGGGATGCGGTGTGAGATCTCGAATCCAAATCTCTCGGATCTGTGTCCAGGATGGACGGGAATCAAGATAATCATAACGTAGCTGAGAGAGAAGAATGACTTTATGGGGAAATCCGACTGCAAGAATAGATTGCATGTCTGGGGTAGATGTCCAATCGAGGTCACGAATAGAGTCTTGTTGCGAAAAGTGCTCTTCAAATTCCAGCTGCGCATCGTTGGTATCCCAGATAGTCAGGTGCGTGCGACCCTCGTCGACAAGGGCAGCTTTGCGAATGGAGCTGCCGCTAGCCAAAGACAGGTTTGTGATGCCGGTTTCAACAGTAGATGTCAAAAGCCATTCGACACGGTCATTGTCCCTATCAACCTTGGCTGTCCATGTCCTGACGGTACCGTTCCCGGTATACGAAAGCGCAATATCAGGCGAGAAAAGGTCGAAGAAGCCTGTCATTTCAGCTTCGCGCCCAGCTGGATCAACAGGCAATATATACGCGATGTCCTCTTCGAGGCCCAGATGAAAAGTGCAGAACTTGCGCAATCTGCACTCAGACTCCCCTTGTTTCGTGTTCGGAAGCTGTATCTCCCAGGCTATCCCATCCATACCAGCTGCAATGGTTGCTATATACACGACGCCATTTGCTTCCGCAGTAGGGATCGGCAAAACACAGAGTGGTTTGCTGGATAATTCGAATCGCGCAGCCGCAAGCCTTCTGGCATGGAAAGAACGGATATCCCAAATAGAGATTCCATCATGATGGAGATTGACCAGGTAGTTTCCATCTCCGACGACACAGCTGCGGTGGATATGCTCTTCTGCTATCAGTGCACTTTGTCGAAGAAGCACTGATCCACCAGCTCGCTGTTTCTGCCTCCATATCAATGCTTTGCTGTCATCCGTGCGGGAGGCAAGAGTGTCTCCAATAGCATTACGAACAATCTTCTTGATCGGTCCATTGTGTCCTGTCCACGACGCTCTCATGGCAACTCGGTTCTTACGAGGTGCTGGGTCAAATAGAACGTCGACCGGCGAATCAAACCACTCAATCCGACCATCAAAATGGTGAATTAGAATGGCGATTGAATCGCCTGGCTCAGTGCCTTGAAAGGCGCACAGCTGCGCATAATCCTCTTCAATCGTCAGACCGGGCATGAATGCAAAATTCAGGCCCTCAACATGAAGAATGTTGAACACATTCAATTCCGCTTTGGCCTTAGATCCGACATCTTGCAACGCCCAGGCCGACATGTGCCCCTCGCCATCTATAACGACGCAAATCTCCGGGCTCTTGTTTGCCACTTCAATTATATGCTCTAGGGCGTGGTTATCTGCGTTGCCTGTGCCCCGCTGCACAGCCTTCTCAGTCGCAACGCAGAAATCCCGACTGTCAACTATGAAGCCGTACCGGCGAAATGTATCTGTAGTCTCTGTTGCATGTCTCGGCTGAACAGAGGCGCCCATATCAATCTGCGTCCAAAGCTGTAAGGCGGTCGGAGCATGATAATCTATCGTTGCCCATACCCTGATCTTGTTGTCCGCACACAGCGTATAGAAGACATTTCCCATTGACTGCTCCCGATGATAGGGTCTGCGCCAGTGAATCCCAGTAACAATCGTTGGATGCGGGAGATAAGACACTTCAAATCGAATGTTATTACCGAAATTCAGCCTTCGCCAAACTTTCACCATGCGATCGTAGTGTCCGGCGGTTACCAAGAGTGTCGCGTCAGGAGAGAACTGGGCGAACTTGACAGTGCTCGCCAGTCCCTGTTTCCACACCGGTCGCGGCTGATCGTTGAGAAACCAGAGGGTAAGGTGGGAATTGCCCAGGAGCAGTTCATCAGGTGAGCCCCACGACAGGGTACGGATCGTTTCGTCGTCATCCTCGCTGCGGAACGTTTGGGCTAGGGACCACTATACATAGATAGATTGTTTAGCTTCAGAGCCCTTTATTTGTTCTGTCCGACGGTACCAACTTCCACTCCATGTCATTTCAACAACAGGAACCGACCTTGAGCGTTTCGTTTTGGATCCCATATGGTTGGTATATAAAGACGTCGGGTCCACCGCATGCGGCAATCTTGCCAGTAACTTCATCGATCGTTACTGCTTCCAAGACATCGGTATCGTCGACATAGATGGTTTGCAGGAGCTTGTGCGGACCGCCGAGGATAACCAGTGCTTGACCAGAAATGTACACCTAAGACAAGCGAACGCGCAGGGGAAGCTGTATTAGCGGGGCTGTAAACAAGTCGCAATTCCGAGCAATGCATGGGGTTCAAGTAGCGGAGTCTCACAACAACTCGAAGTCCATCCCACAGCGCAGTGCTGAACGACTGGAGCTTCGTTGGGGGCCTCCCCGGCAGTACCGCTCGCATAGAGGCGATGTTCGTAGGGATGGAACGCTTGTTGCGCACGAATTAGAGTTACACCATCGCCAATCTCAGGATCACAGGGTATCAATCATTAGAAGAGATAGTGAGGAACAAATAGCAAGAAAAGGTGAGGTGGTGGAGGGGACACCGTGGGGGATGGAGGTTAATAGGAGGGGGAGATAATTCCGGCTAACACAGCTGTTGCTCTCCGCTGCTCTTCCCGCCTTCCGCCGTGTGACCATCAGCGGATCAATCACTTGCGATCCGCTTCTTTGTCAATTACTGCTTATCTTGTCAAACACACAACGGATCTACAGGCAAACCTAAGAGTCTGATGCTTCGGGAAGAAATACCTGTGCACGGTCTGTTCCTTCTAACAAGTCGTTATACATTGAATTCGAGTCTATGCATATGTCACGTCATTCATGACCTATAGATAGGCCCCCAAGTATATATGAGACAGAAAGTGGAAAACCATAGTCTACACGCTATCATAACAACGCAAACGGGTATCATGGTCTTATACAGGAATCTCAAACAATCAGCACATATTGTCACCCTCGATTAAGACTGGCAATGAGAGGGCGATTCATGTTCGTCGACCAGACGACCTTCTTCCATCTGTCGGCGATTCAGGCTCTTCGCCCGCTTCATCTGCGAAACGTACACTGGTGCTGAGCGCACTTGTTCGTCCAGCACGACGTCTACTAGACAGAGTTCGAGGTAAGGCGCCCGCACGTAGCAGTCGACTAGCAAAGGGCGTATACAAAGGCGTTGCCGGGGTGGTGGAACCCTGGGCCACAATCGGAGCCGCCCGTCGGGAGGGCGAAGTGAGGAAATTAGGAGTCGCAAGCGGTGTTGTTGAAGTAGCTTGGAGTTCGGTTACATAAGTCTTGAAAGGTGTCTCGACCTGATAGTACGGGTCGAATAGGCGCCGATTTGTGTCGAGTCCGAGAGGAGCATCAAAGTCCTTCTGCGGACTTAGCAAGGGTCCTGCAATATCTCGTGCTTCGAGTTTCGCTCTTGCTTGGTCGAGCCAATTACGGAACATGCCCCGTGTATGCTTTCGCAGGTTGCGCTCCTTCATTGCGTCGGCCGTCTCAGAGCTGCTCTTGACTTGAAAGACGCGGAAGCTCAGCTTGCGAAGCTGCGAGCTGGCTTGTGCTAAAGCATGGGCATGATGTATACTGCTGGCTTGTTCCTCTTGCCGACGAACCTTAGCCAGATGTCCAGCCCAGCGAGTCAATTGCTCTTGTACGTTCAGACGAGCGTAATGATTATCAGCATACCCACACTCCTGGATCTGACTTATTGTCTTATCTTGCCATCGGCCCAGAAGCTCGGAGGCGATATACAACACTCTTTGTCGCGAGAACTGTATAGCTTGGTGCTCTAGCTCGGTTATAGTACGAGATTTCGATAGCCAATGGAAAAGAACTTCCGTCGCAAGTCTGATCTTGTGCTTCCTTCGTGTTTTCACGTAAGCTTGCTGGCGACGCCGTTTTGTTGATTCTGTCGCCGCCAATCGCCACTGTTTGGTATACTTAGTGGCTAGGAAGTAGAACCTGGCCTTCTGTGCCCAATTCTCGATTTGCGCAACATGCCGAAGTTTTGAACGCCAAGCTACAAGTGATTCCTGGGCAAGACGTGGTGCATAGAACTCAAACGCAACGGCGTCTCGTTCGCGTTGGAGAGCAAGTTGGTTTCGCCAACACAAGAGCTTGGAGCGAAGCAGATCTTTAGTTTGACGTCGTTCATAGGCTTCTGCACGATCGAGCAGTACCGAATACGTTCCGCGAACATTTGTCACAAACCGGGAAAATATTTCATGCTTGATTCGTTGTTCCCTGATCCGCTGCATCAGTCGGTATCGTTCGGCTAGAATCCATTTATACATAGCTTCTAGCTTCAATCGTTCCTCAATTCGAGCGTAGAGAGCCTGGCAACGAAGCAGATCGTTCCACGCTGTCCAGGAATTGCGTACAATGCGGCGTTGATCCATCTCTCTCGCCTGCTGTAGCATCTGCACTCTCTTGATCCATTGCTGATACGCTGATCTGAGGATCCTATTGTTCACCATGTGCGAGACACGAGCAGCAACTGGAGCCAGATGAGTCTGGGCTTTCCATTCTCTGAAGGTCTCGCCTAAGAGCTGACGCCTTTGGATCAATGCGGCTTCATTTTCGATAACGATTATGTCTTCGCTTCTGTGACGCCAGGCTTGCCATACAGATGTCAGGAGATTGTGCCGACTCCTTACTTCAATCTCATGAGTTCGCTCCCGATTTGTTCGAAACTTGCGCAACCAATACAACAAAGACCGTCTTTTAAGGCAGTGGTCATACCATTGAGGAGCACGCTGCTCGCAAAAATGCCAGAACCATTGCCAATATGCCGCATTCGTCAGCTTCTCGTCACGCATTGCCGCCGCGTAGACCTCCGCCTCCTTGAACTGTCTTGTCTTTCTTCTCCAAGCATCAAAGGGTCGCCGCAGGGCAAAGCGCTGAGCTTTCAATTCATTGACGGCAGTGATTTCTCGCCATGCATTGAAGTACTTGACACTAAGAATATGCCGGCGAGCAGCAGATGTTCTTGCGACTTCCTCCGATGTGAACTGCGCCCAGTGAGAGAACGCCTTTGTCAGCAAGTACAGATCTCGAGCCCGTCCAGCGCGCTCCTCAAGGTGCTTGAAGAACCTTTCCGTTCGCTCCGATCGACGCTTGTCTAGTATCTTTCCATGCCACGTCTCGAAGGCTTGGCGCAGTAATGTACCTCTGTCTCGATTGGAAGCAACAGCGTCCATGTGTTGATGGATCTGTCTCTTTTCGACAGCCTTTTTCAACCACTGAGTCAATATCCGGCGGTGAATCGCTCGTTGACGGTACATGTTGAAAGTTGAAGCGTCGCGCAGCAAGTCTGAAAGCGATGGTCGATAGAGTAACTCGGGAGGAACTTTGTGTCGTTCAAGGGCACCGCTAGCCTGAGAGGACTGCTCGTCCCCATCATCGGAGCTGCTTGAGGAGTTTGACGGACGCGGACGTGACGCCTCGGCAATTCTTTCAGACCGATCTCGATCGACAGCAACACGAGCATACAATCCATTTGGCATTGGTTTTTCTTCCGGTGCTGGTTCTGATTCTGATGCAGCCAGGAGGTCAAACCTGCTCATTAGTCGACGACCAACATCGAGGAACTGTGCTATCAATTGAGTTCTATCTGGAGAATCTGCGCCTCTCGATGTTGTCGCGCGCTTCGTATACGGGCTGGAATCTGGGAGAATATACTCAGATTTTCCAGTTTGTAGTCGCGACATGGAAGAGCGTGAACTCGGCCGGTTAATGAAGCTCCTTTGTGTAGGGTCGTCGTTGATGTCGTACATTGAATTGAACGAGGCGCGTCTCCGCAGAGGGGTCTGCATTTCAGAATACATCGGTTCTGTAGATCCCCCTGTAGCATCGTATATCCTTTTCCTCACTCGGCTCTCGCCCGGAGGCACGTTGTCAACATAGAGTTCGTCCTGACCATCATCTTCACCGAATTCAATCACTATTCCCATCCGTTCTAGCAGATTTTCGAATCTCTCAAAGAGCGACTTCCCTGCGATATCCTTGCTCCCCATCTTGAGCAAGAAGCGCATGCAGGCATATCCCGGATCCGCGTCCACGCCATGTTCTGCAATGACCTGATCATAGGCATTAAAGAGGACTCTGTATGGAAGGCGCTCAACTTCGGGATCACGCTCAGCGCGAGTGATGACTTGATAGAGGAGGCCGACATCTGAAATACAACAAACAAACCCGGCTTAGCAGTAGTCCAAATTGATAAGGGATCTGACAGGGGCCAATCGCATACCGTCATCTGAGAGCAGCGGGTCTTCATAGGACAAAGGTCTTCGCTGGAAGGGAACTGGAGGCATCGAAAACTTCGCGGCCTAGAGCGCGTTGTGTCGCATATGGGTCATGGAGGCGAGAAAGGAAATCAATCATTGCGGAGCACAGTGGTGGAAGACGACGGCACAAATCCCAAGTGCTCAAGTCTGAGGATTCGGTTTTTCAAACACGATCCAGAAAGGGCCTGCAGACCCAACGGCTACGGCCAGCGCGATCGATCATTGACTTTTGCGGAGAGACCGCCTAATTGTTTTGGCCTCGTGTCGCGCCGGGCGATGGAACGCATCCTGGTCATGTGATCAATTATTACATAATGAAGGGAAACCCGCCTGCATGGAATGGGGATGTAATGCCCCCAATCGCAGACTGGGGCATCACCCAAGTGCTGAACCTGAAGAGAATAAGAACAGGATGCCGTCAACAAGGACAAGACCTATTGAGAGATTTGCCAAGGCCACCGCCAAATGCTCTGCAGAGGTATCCCTCACGTCTCCCTGCCTATCTCGCACGACTGGCCCGCCAGGCATCATGTACGCCAGACTGACTGGACCCCTAGGCGGCCGCATATGGCAAATGCGTTGTTGCTGACTACAACGCGGTGCACAAAGATATGTGTGCCAAAGAATTTATGAGACTCAAAGACTGCTTTTTGGTATAGTGAAATACTGATCTTATCAAACGAGTAAACGACTGATGCGTGCACTCCAGGCGGCCTCAAAGAAGGTTTAATTACACTTATAATGTGAGGACCTAAGAAATGGACGCTGAAAATGACCGCCACCAAGGCCATGAACAGCTAGCTGTATTCCGACCTGTAACCCGCAGCTTCTGACCACTGCCTAAGCATCATCTATCTACTCTCAAATGCTGAAATATGTGATTCTCAGATTCTGAAGTCTTTCTGGATAAATCATCCATTCTTGGAGATTCTTTGAAAATTCTTCTTGATTGTGTCTACTAGTCGTGAACTACGAATATCTTGCCAGTTCACGTGCAGCACGATGATATGCCAATCAATTCGCTGCTCTCAACTGTTCGGTGGTAGAGCAGAGGACAAAGAACATATTAAATCATTCAAATAATGTATTGAAAAGACAAGAACTATTTTATCTCATAACAAGAAAAAGAGCACCAACTGGGAATTGTATCGATCTAACTGTTACGTTGCACATCTTAACTTGACCAGAAGTTCTAAAGCTTCAGCAAACGCAACAAGAAGGTGGCCTTCTGAACTTCTTGTTCTTCCTGGATGATCATCTGAGGCTCATCACCGCTAGGCAGCTTGCCGTCAACAAGCTCGTGACGCTCCAGCGGTCTGCGCACAACCTTCTCAATAGCCTTGGCCTGCGTTTCAAACGCCTTGTTGATACCGATATCTTCAGGGTCAGATAGAACCACGTACTCCATCTTCACATCGTCGGTGGGAACCAGACCAGCCTTCTTGCGGAGGCGCTGAAGGCGGTTGATGATCTCTCGACCCAATCCTTGCTCGGCCAGGTCAGGGTACAAGTTCGCGTCTAGAATGGTGACGAGCTCATTGTCTGTGTTCGATTCCATGTTGACCGATGCGGAGTCCTCCTTGAGTCCCTTCTTCACGACAAGATCACCCTCGACAAGCTCAATTCCATCCACAAGCATCTTCTTTTCAGCAACGAAGTTCTTAACATCTTCACTAGTCAGCGAAGGCAGCGCCTTCTTGACTTTCTGGACATCCTTTTTCAACTTCTTGCCCAGAGTGGGCCAGTCAGCCGAGACACTGTACTGCACATTGTACTTCGCTTCGTCGGACGAAAGAACAAGCTCCAGGATGTTCAATTCCTCTAGAATGTAACTCTGGAGAGACCTGACGTCCTCCAGGTATTGCTCGTCCTGGTGAATAACGACAAGTGTTTTCAAAGGAGTCTTCAGGCCAATGTTCCGTCGTTCACGGGAGGTACGGGCCATCTCGATGACTTTCTGCATACGGGCAACTCTTCTCTCAACGACCTCGTCGAAGAGCTCCTCGCGCACTTCAGGGAATGGGAGGAAGTGGACACTGCGACTGTCTTCAGCCCGGAGAGCCTCGGGAATGTGGGGCAGGAGCTTCAGGTAGATGGTGTCGGTTAGGAAGGGAGTGAAAGGAGCCAAGCCCCTGACCAGGGTGTACAGGACCTCGAAGAGAGTGTTCAGGGCGTGCTGGGTGTCTTCAACGCCGTTCTCACCCTTCAGTCGTCTGCGGTTGAAGCGGATATACCAGTTCGTGGTGTTGTCAATCAAACCAAGCAGGCGGGGAACGACAGTATACAAACGGTATCCTGCCATCTCTTCGTTCACGAACTTGAGAAGACTCTGGCAGCTTGCCAGGATCCAGCGGTCCATAACATTGGTGTTGGTAGCCTCCGCCTTCGGGTCAAAGGTGTAATCAAAGCCCTGGGTCTTCTTGAAAAGAGCAGCCTGTCCCTCGAAGAACTTGTAACTGTTCCACAAGGGGAGGAGAACCTTGGCAACGATCTCCTTGACACCGGATTCCTTGAACCTGAGGGGCTCTGCTCGTACAACCGGAGAGTTGATCAGATAGAGTCGCAGGGCATCTGAGCCATACTTGTCCATGACCAGAGAAGGATCAGGGTAGTTCTTCAAGCGCTTTGACATCTTCTTTCCATCTTCCGCAAGAACAATACCATTGACGACACAGTTCTTGAAGGGAAGCTTACCGAAAAGGTGAGTTCCCAAAACGGTCAGCGTGTAGAACCAACCACGAGTCTGGTCCAGACCTTCAGCGATGAAGTCACCCGGGAAGCTCTTCTCGAACTGGTCCTTGTTTTCAAACGGATAGTGCTGGGATGCGTAAGGCATGCTACCCGACTCGAACCAGCAGTCGAAGACTTCGCTCACACGGCGAAGAACACCCTTACCCTGCTTGCTCGGAATAGTGATGTGATCGACCTTGTCACGGTGAAGGTCAGTGAGCTCTCCCTCGTAGCCGCTGAGCTGTTTCAGTTCTTCAACGCTGCCGACCGCGACGACTTCCTTGAAATCATCGCTAACCCACAACGGAAGGGGAGTACCCCAGAAGCGATTCCTAGAAATGTTCCAGTCACGCGCGTTTTGAATCCAGCTGGAGAATCTACGTTCTTTAACGAAACTAGGCACCCAGTGAGATTCTTCGATGCCCTGAAGCATCTGGGGAATTATGGGCCCGATCTTGACAAACCATGAAGGAACGGCTCTGTAGATCAATGGAGTGTCGGAGCGCCAGCAGAAGGGGTAGCTGTGAGTGATCTGACTGTCAACAATCAAGCGACCAGCTGCCTTCAAGTGCTTGATGATAGCTCGATCCGCGGCCTTGACGTGCTGACCTTGAAAATCTTTGACCTCTGAGGTGTAGCAACCAGTCTCATCAACGGGGTTAGGGGGATGGCGATCCTCACTGATGACACCGCTTTCCATAGCTACTCTGTAATCGTCCTCACCAAAAGCTGGAGACTGGTGGACGATACCCGTACCATCCTCGGCAGTGACATACTCGGCGATCAAGACACGGAAGCCATGATCTTTGAATTCTTCGTAGAAGTAGTCGAAGAGAGGCTGGTACTTCCAGTCCTTCATGTCAGAACCCTTGAAACGGTCGACAATCTTGAACTTGGCCTTCTTCGGGTCTTTGTAGAGGGTACGAAGCAAAGATTCGAGAAGAATGTAGTGCTTTCCGGAAGCCTCGTCCAGGATCTTGATGTATTCGAAATTGGGGTTGACGGCGAGGCCGACGTTCGAAGGAAGGGTCCACGGGGTCGTCGTCCAGGCTAGAAGAGAGGTCTCAGGATCATTCACGAGGGGGAAGGTGACCACAACGGCAGGATCCTGAACATCCTTGTAATTTTGCTGGGCCTCGAAGTTACTGAGGGGAGTGTTGAGGGCGGTCGAGTAAGGCATGACACGGTAGCCCCGATAAACAAGACCCTTGTCAAACAGCTGCTTGAAAACCCACCAGATCGACTCCATAAAGCTAGCGTTCATGGTCTACAGAACACACGATTAGAGAATGCTCCTGAAACAGGCTATAGCAGTATGGCCTTCGGTTGGCACGAAGAGCATGCAGATGGCCTGACATAGCGCAAAAACCTACCTTGTAATCATTGTCAAAGTCAATCCAGCGACCTAGTCGTTCGATAGTTTCGCGCCATTCCGAGGCGAATCTCATAACAATAGCACGACATTCCTCGTTGTACTTCTCGATTCCGATCTTCTGGACGGCTTCCAAGCCCGACATGCCCAACTTCTTGTCGATCTCATACTCGATAGGCACACCGTGGGTATCCCAGCCAAAGCGACGCTCGACGTAGTGACCTTTCATAGACCAATAACGAGGAATAATATCCTTGATGGTCGAGGCCAACAAATGACCGTAGTGAGGAAGGCCAGTCGCAAATGGAGGGCCATCGTAGAAGGTGTAAGGTTCGCGCCCCTCGGAGAGTTCGACCTGTCTCCGGAAGGCGTTGATCTCCCTCCACCTCTTGAGGATGGCCTCCTCTTCACGAGGAAAATCAATGGACATGACGAGCAGGTTAGTGCGGTCGTCAATGGGAGGGGAGGGGAGGCTGCAATCGATGCGATCTGCGCAGAGAGGGATGGTCCGCGGGGTAGAAATAGAGGAGTGCGCACGGTAGGAGTCGTGAGTCACCCCGCGGTTCGAATTTTAGCCAAGCTGCACAAGGAACCCAACCCGGTGCGTGCCCCGCCTACCGCCGGAATGATGCGCGAACTCCTCATTCAAGGCAAAGTACATACATATTTTGTACGCTTAGCGCTGGAGATCTACAGAAACAGAAAAAGGACTGGACGAATAGGCCATATTTGCCCAGGGAGTTTATGATTTGTCTATAGTTTGATGCAATTGAGGGCTTATACACAGTCGTCCGACCTCCTAGGAACTGCAACCTACTCCTCCACTTCCTCATCATCCTCTTCTTCCTCGTCTTCATCTTCTGCTTCAGATACTTCTTGTCCAAGATCTTTGAGGCGTTGCTGGAAGAGGTCATGAGTCATTACGTGCATGTCAAATGATAGGCTATAGAGTGACTCACCTTGTCCTGGTTCCTCTTTGCTTCAAGATCTCCGAAGACAATGAGAAGATCTTCTAGTTCGGACTGCGCCGCCTGGCGAGCTTCCTCCCTCTCGTTGGCCTCGGAGCGTACCTTCTCAAGCTCTTTCCGTGTAGAGTCCAGGGCTGCTGCAGACCTTTGAGCTTCTGCTTTGGCTTGCTCAACCTCACTCTCGGCCTTCTTGACTTGCTCTTCTAGCGCAGCGTGCTTGTCTGAGCTGTCTTTACGCGCGGATTGCAAATCTTGTGTAGACTTCTCTGTTACCGCCTTTAACTCAGATTGTAGCCCCTGCCTAGTGGTCTCAAGATCAGCAAGTTCAGCCTCATGCTGCTGCTTGATCTTGACGATATCTGATCTGAGAGCCAGAATTGTGTCGTTGAGACTAGACAATTCGCTCGCGTGCTTCTCCGTGCTTGCACCATTGCCCGATTGGAGGTCCTCGATCTTTTTCTGCAGTTCAGCCAATGATTCTGCATGCTTCTCTCTATTTGTGTCGAGTTCGCGTCGAAGACCATCGATCGTCTCATTCAAGCCAGCTAATTGCTCAACGTGCTTTCCTTGTTGTGCTTCCAGTTCAGATTGAAGTTTACTTGACGTCAATTTCTGGGCGGATAACTCAGCCGCGTGTTTATCCTCGCTGGCTTGCAGTTCGGACTGGAGGTCACTGATCGTTTTGTTGAGAGTCAACAGTTGCTCGGCATGATTGTCTTTCTGTGCATCGAGTTGAGACTGGAGAAGGTCGATCGTCTCGCGCTGCGATGACAATTCTTCCGCGTGCTGCTCTTTGCTAGCGTCGAGCTGAGCCCCCAGATCCTCAATTGTCTTTTTCGAACCGGACAATTCCGTTGCATGCTTTTGCTCGCTGAATTCAAGCTGGGATTGAAGTTTGCTGATTGTCTCGTTCAGATCAGACGATTTCTTTGCATGCTTTTGCTCGCTCAACTCAAGCTCGGATTGAAGTTTGCCGATTGCCTTATTTAGGCCAGACACCTCGGCAGAGTGTTGCTCTTTGCTAGATTCGAGCCTGGACTGAAGAGACTGGACTGTGCTGTTGAGGTCGAGGACCTCGGCCACATGCTGTTCCTTTACTTTTTCAGCGTCAGCGCTCAATCTCTGGATCGTCGCCTGCAATTTAGCAATCTCGCCTGCATGCTGGTCACGGATTCGAGCAAGGTCAATTTCTAACGAGCGGCTATGCTTCCGTAAATCAGCGAGCTCGGTGTCATGGTGCTTTTTGGCGTGATAAAGCTGCCTTTCGTAATCAGCCGCGGTTTCCTTGAATCGCTGCTCGAAAGCTCGAAGTTGCTCCTCATGTTTCCTTGCAAGTTCGACTTCGTCGCGTTTCTGCTGCGCCTTCAGCGCCGCAATATCCTGTTCATGGCTTCTTTTGAGGGACTCGCTGATCTGTTGTAACTTGGTAGATTCTACGGCAGTTGAGTCTCGGGTCTTCCTGTGTTCAGCTTGCTCATGCTCAAACTTAGCTTGCAGAGCAAGCAGGTCCTCCTCCAGCTTTTGTACCACGTTACCTTTTTCCTCGATTTCCGCTCGGAGGGTGTCAACTAATTCACGCGACACACCTCTTTCGACACCGTTGGTGATTATGGATATTTCCAATTCAGGCTCTCGGTCGATTGCACGAGTCAAACGACTGAAATTGTCTTTCAAGAATTCGATGAACGTCCGGTCAAAATAGATTTCCGGAAGCCCGCCATCAGATTGTGCTCCCACGGTTTGCGGAAGAACCTCAAAGTCACGCACCAAGGGGGCTTCTCTAAATCGTCTGATTCGATCAATATATTGTTCTCGTCCCAACTGATCGAGGATGAGCTTGTGCAATGTCTTGCGGGGTATAGGCGAGTCCTTCGAGGAGAATTCGTAGATGATTCCCAGTAGAATTGTGCAGAGACCAGGCACGAGCACATTAGAGACCCCACGATGCTTTACTTCTTGGAGTAGACTCTGGATGCTGCTGCCCTCGCCTAGGAAATCATTCACGGCATCGGGCTCCTCAAAAAGCCAACCACAGAGCAACATCAGATACCCGAGGGTGATACGTTCATCGTCCCCACGCTGCAGACCAGTGATCAAGTTGCCCACTATTGTCTGGATACAGGTGATCACCTCTTCTCCCTGTTCAGCATCTCCCTCGGTCACTCCCATGGCGATCTCCTTTGCTTCAGCATTATCCAGCAGCAATTGGTACATCAGCACAGCCGCCATCCAAGTCTGATAAGGATCGGCGTTTCCTCGGAGCTCCGGGGGTGTAAGTAGGACGGTTAGAATATTCGGAATCTGGTCTTCCCCGCTAACATGACCTTGAATCGCCCGACCCAGTACATGAACACGAATTCCAGAATGGTTCGAAAAGAATGCCTTGACGCACTCGCACGCAGCTAGACGAGCGTCAAGAAGCGACGTAGGTGCAGGCTCTAGTGTCAATTTAAGTAAGGCTTCGATGACATTGATCGGCTGAGTCTGCTTGACTTCCGCATTGCCATTCACAGCAGCCCCATTAGTAGTCCCCGAGCCCCAAACCACCTCCACATCACCAAATCTTTCCTGCAACGGTTTGTTTGCGCGAATCAGGTCTGCACATGTTGCAAGTGCCTAGAGGAAAGTCAGGCACGGTGCTGAGCGTGAAGAAGGGACGAGAAGATCCAACCTTAGCCGTTACATTCACGTTGAACCTTTGGCCAAAAGCCGTGCTCAACACTTGCTCCATAACCCCATGATTCCAGAAGGCCATCTGATTAGCAGGGGTGTTGACACCTCCCTTCACGAGGAAAAGCTGTATTATGACCAAAAGTCCCCAAATATTCTTGTCACGGTGAGCGAAGGTCCACTGTGGGGCCTGTTCTTCGGGCTCTTCATCCTGGTTTGCGTCCGCAAGGAGTTTTGCTAGTCGCTTGACACAGCCCGTTTCGCGGAAGTATGACTGGTTGGAAATGTTGAGCCGCAGGAGGTTGGCAAGTAGAGAAAGACAGTCCTCAACGACTTCCGACCCATGGCTCAATGCGCCTTCAGCCTCGATCAAGGAGAATATCAGATCAAATGCATTTTCGAAGGCAACAAGCTTCTGGAATTCCTCCGATGCTGGCGTGAGCGCGATGAGAAGAAGTAACGCTTCTGATGATAGCGAATGAATCTTAGCACCTGTAACAACACGGACGATTATTTCCGACTCAAACATACCATTGCGTACCGGCTCGCGAGAATCTCCCAAAGCACTAACCAGCCTCGGGATACCGAGTGGCGCAGTTAGAATGCACTCCTGTGTCCTCTCCGGCCGCGCGCTAGAAATCTGAAACATCAATTGCAGAGCGTAGAGGCGAGAGTAGAAATCCCGATTATCTAAAAGGTCGAGAAGGGCGGTGATGTTGTCTTGTCGCTTCCGCCCAGTCAGCAATGCCTAAGGAAACACGTAGCGAACGTCGAACCTGGGTGAATTCATCTGACAACCAGAGAGCGATCTCATCCGAGGCTTCGGGCTAGAAACAGCTATGTTAGCGCCTAGAGTAGGTCCCATGCCCTGCTTAGATTAGGATACCAACACTATTTTCGTCGGGGGTGAATAACATCAACAAGGTCTCCAGGACCACTTTGATAGTGTCCACATCTTCACGGTCATTTCTCAAGCTACTGATCAACGGTCGCAGAGCGCCCGAAGCAACAGAAGCAGGATAGGTCTTGGAGAAACTTCTGAGTCCTTGAATCGCCGCTCTTCTATCTTCCAACAAAGTAGCGCTCTGGAGCCGACTACTCAGAGTATTGATAGTGTCCGTAGCCGTTTGTTTGGCCGGAGCCTGAGATTCGAGAATTCGGAACATCGCGATTGATAACTAGTAATCTCATGGTCACCGCCGGCCGTGGGCGTTAGGGTGTAAAAGCATTGGGTGGGGTGTCGGGGGAGAGAGGTTGATATTGTTGAAGTCCTCAAACAAGCTGAGTTGTTCTCTCCGGTGGGAAAGCTGCAGCTGGACTAGCCCGCGGACAGCAGCGCTGCTGCATAATGACCGGAAGCCAAGGACTCGCGCTAAGCATCCGGAACCGCGACAAGAGAAGCGCCGGCTCCCAAGTTCTTTCAAAAGTCAACGGCTGACGGTCGCAGAGACTTCCAAAGCCATTTGCCATCTTTCTCTTACCCTCCTTTCACCGGCCCCGTTTCTTTGTCTTGCTACTCAGGCCGGGTGAAGTGGGAATCGGTCGCTGATTATAATACTGCGCCGACCCTGCCTTAGACGAAACGATTTCTTCCGATACGAAGCCTCGAAACAGCCGATGCAGCGCATCCGCGAAATAGTCTAGCTTGACCTGATTTATCTGCGATTACTTCCAGCTTTTCGTTCGGCACAAAACAGCAGCCATGGGTGTCCCCGCGCTCTTCAGATGGCTGTCGAACAAATACCCCAAGATCATCTCACCGGTCATTGAAGAGACTCCCTACGAAGTCAATGGAGAAGAAATCCCGGTCGATACAACGCAGCCGAATCCAAATGGCGATGAGATGGACAATTTGTATTTGGACATGAATGGTATCGTCCATCCTTGTACGCATCCTGAAGGGAAGCCCCCTCCAGCGAACGAACAGGAGATGATGATCGAGATCTTCAAATACACCGATCGAGTGGTTAACATGGTTCGCCCCAGGAAGCTTCTCATGATTGCTGTCGGTAAGTCAAACGCGATTGCATGGCTTGTCGCATCTAGTCTAACGTTGGCTTCCTATGAAATACAGACGGAGTTGCGCCACGAGCAAAAATGAACCAGCAACGAGCACGCCGTTTCCGCTCGGCTCAGGAAGCCAGAGAGGCTGATGAGAAGAAGGAAGAGTTTCGGAAGATGCTGGCGAAACAGAACGGCAACAAGCAAGAGGAAGATCTTTCAGAGCAGGTCGTTCAGAAGACTTGGGACAGCAACGTTATCACGCCCGGAACTCCTTTCATGGACATTCTCGCTGCCGCTTTGCGCTACTGGATTGCCTACAAGCTCAACACTGACCCTGCCTGGGAAAAGGTATGGGTTGCCAATGTTTTTGCTGTTCACATATGACATCGCTAACCAAAATAGCTGAAAATCATCATTTCAGATGCAACCGTGCCAGGTGAAGGAGAACACAAGATTATGGAATTTGTCCGGTCCCAGCGGGCAGACCCAGAGCACGATCCCAACACACGCCACGTTATCTATGGTCTGGATGCGGACTTAATCATGTTAGGCCTTGCCACCCATGAGCCTTACTTCCGAGTCCTGCGAGAGGATGTGTTCTTCCAGGAATCTAGGCCACGGACATGTCGTCTGTGCGGTCAACCCGGCCACAAAGCAGAAGAATGCAGAGGACAGGCTAAGGAAAAGAATGGCGAGTTTGACGAGAAGCAAAAAGGATCATCCCTCAAACCATTCATTTGGCTCAACGTCGGTGTCCTGCGGGAATATCTCGCTGCCGAGCTCCATGTTCCGCAACAGCCTTTCCCGTTCGACTTGGAGCGTGCCTTGGACGACTGGGTCTTTATGTGCTTCTTCGTAGGAAATGACTTCCTTCCGCACTTGCCATCATTAGACATTCGCGAAAATGGCATCGACACCTTAATTGCGATTTGGCGTGATAATATCCCCGTCATGGGTGGATACTTGACCCAGGATGGACATGTCGATCTGAAGAGGGCTCAACTCATTCTTCAGGGTTTGGCGAAGCAGGAAGATGCGATCTTCCGCCGTCGTAGGCAAGCAGAAGAGAGAAAGCTTGCGAACGAAAAGAGACGCAAGCAGGAGGACCAGGCCCGCCGCGAGGAACAGGCGAAAAGACAAAGACGAGGCTCCCCTAGTTATGACACCTACGAAACTCCCGCTCCCAACCGGACTCGTGGTGGCGCAGATGCAGCTCCTCCAAGTGGAGTGGAACTCATCACTCCTGCTCGCGGAGAGCTTACGCGGGAGGCGAGGGAATTAACTCATAGCATGGTGGTCAATCGTGGAGCAGTTTATAAGGCTAATATGGCCAACAAGAGTGCCGCCGCTATCTTAAAGAGTAAAATGATGCAAGGCACCCAGGATGGCTCGGCGTCCAACGAAGCCGAGGAGTCCACACCGGGCGCTTCTGAAGCATCAGACGACAAGATGGATCAGGATCAAACCTCACCGTCGGTGCTTGGCAAGCGAAAGGCCGAAGAAGAGGCTGCTGCTGCGACACCCAAGGAAACCCCTAGCACACCCAAGGACGATGAGTTACCGCCTGACAATGTTCGTCTCTGGGAGGAAGGATATGCTGATCGGTACTACGAGCAAAAGTTTGGTGTCGATCCTCAAGACAAGGAGTTCCGTCACAAGGTCGCACGGGCCTATGCGGAGGGCTTGGCCTGGGTACTTCTATACTATTTCCAAGGTTGTCCTTCATGGACGTGGTATTACCCATACCACTACGCACCCTTTGCCGCCGACTTTGTTGATATTGGCGACATGGAGTTGTCTTTTGAGAAGGGAAAGCCATTCAGACCCTTTGAGCAATTGATGGGTGTGCTCCCAGCTGCATCTAACCACGCCATCCCCGAAGTCTTCCACCCCTTGATGAGCGATCCTGACAGCGAAATCATTGACTTCTACCCGGAAGACTTCCCTCTCGACTTGAATGGAAAGAAATTTGCCTGGCAGGGTGTTGTTTTGCTGCCTTTCATTGACGAGAAGCGGTTGTTGGACGCCATGGCCAAGAAATACCCTCTACTGACAGACGACGAGAAAGCCAGGAATGCCCCGGGCCAGGAAGTGTTGATGATTGCTGACAGTCACCCGGTATACCAAGATCTTGTTGCCAACTTCTACTCCAAGAAGCAGGGAGCCACCAAGTATAAACTCAATATGCGAGTGAGTGAAGGCTTGGCTGGCGAGGTTGAGCGTAACGAAACATACATCCCACACAGCTCTCTGGTGTCCACCTTAGAGGAATATGGCATGCCAACTCTCGAGCAGGATCGATCGCTAATGTTAGTTCCACCCCCGCTTTCACGCAAAATGCCTGCCATCGCATTCTTGATTTGCTGACTTGACAACCTTCTCTAGTGTTAACTACGAAATCCCTAAATCAAAGAACATTCATAAGTCTATGCTTCTTCGGGGCGTTAAGCTCCCACAACCGGCTTTGGACAATGCGGACATCCAAGCCGTCAAATCCAGAGCTCAGCACTCGGGTCGATCATTCGGTGGAGCTCCTCTGCGCAATGGCAGAGGCGGTCGCATGAACTATTCCAGTGATCGAAATGCCGGCGACCGACCGAACCCGTTTGCCGCGCACCTTGATCCCAAGTTCGTGCCCCATGGCAACTCTAATGCACCGATGGGCATGGCGTCCGGTTGGAACCCTCCCGGTTCAGGCTATGGAGGCTACAATCGAGGACCGCCCCCTCCTCCCCGTGGTGGCATGTCTGGTTCTTACCACCGCGGCGGGCCCTATCCGGGCCAGCAGCAACATAACGCCCCCGGCAATAACTATGATTACTACGGGCGAAGCCAACAGGGATACTATCAACAAGGTTCCTACGGCAACAATCCCGGAAATCAACACCATGGCAGACATGGCGGTGGCGGTAATGGTGGATATAGCCGGGGAGGGTATCAAGGTCGGGACCACTACTCGTCGCGAGGTTCCGGTGGTGGATACGGTCGATATTAGTATCTCATGGTCGTGGTGAGATCCGCTAGGATCTGTGTCTCAGGTGCCGATCGTACCTGATTCAGTTTATGTTATGTACGGAGTCTGACCCTTGGTGGGGTCTTTACTTGATTCTTGTTGCTTGCTTGTGCTTCTTCTCCATTTTCATGAACAGTTTCTGCTTCACTTGCAGCTTTTGAGAAATAACAACCATGACGGGAATGGGTGACCTGGGAGACTTGGGAACGGCGTTTGAAAGGGACAACATCCTGTTATGATTGCGAAGAGTCTAGTCACAAGTAAAAAAAAAAAAATGGACAAACGAGCATGATGTAGATCCGAGCAATTCTGGGAATGAATCTCTTTCCACTCTGGTGGACCACGATCCGCTTGAGGACATCAACCAGCTTGTACTCGGTACTCCGTAAGTGCGAGGGCAGCTACTTCGGAGTATGTACTGCTTTGTCAAATGGTAATAATAATTATATGAATAAAAAGATTAAAAGGGGGGAGGGGTGGCCGACGGCGGCAATTGATCGAGCTTGGGTAAAATAAGATGGTTCAAGTCACCCGCGGGAGGACAGGACGACATCGGAGGCGGGCCACCTTTTTTTTTCTACACAGTGAGTCAGTCGTTTGTGTCTGAATTGGGTGGAGCTGCAGATTTACCCCCCCCTCAGCTCGAGCGGCTCTCCATTTCTTGGTTACTCTCTCCTTGGTCGAGCATCCCCTTGCGTCAATCTTCCTTCGAGATCCTTCAACTTGTCTTTCTCATTCTCGTTGTCCCTTTCCTACGCCAACCCCTCTCTTCCGCTTTCTTCGGTCTCACTCCGCCGGAATCCGTCGCAGAGTGGATTGTGTCCGCGTTGTCCGAGTCATTGGGCTCGAGAGGTATGTACGAGTAAAGTCTTTCTGTTTTTGAAATCCAATTCCTTCATCTTGTCTTTTCTTTTTCCCTCTGTCTCTGTTCGTTATGAATAAGCATCTCTTTCACTCAACTCTCCGATCGCATCTCTCGTTTCCCGCGCAAGAGAGAAAAATCGCAGTCGGTCAAGTCAGCGCGGGACCTGCGCCTGAGAGGTCTTTGGCAAATTCATTCCCACAGCATGAATCAAGCACAGACTCGGTTCCTCTTTTCGAGTTAACATTTTCTTGTACTTAGCAGTCTTCAAGATGCCCGAACCCACGAAGATCAGCATACTCGGTCAGGAGAGCATCATCGCTGATTTTGGCCTCTGGCGCAACTATGTCGCGCAAGACCTGATCAGCAATTGCTCTTCTACCACCTATGTTCTCATCACAGACACGAATATCGGTTCTATCTACACCCCAGATTTCCAAAAAGCTTTCGATGCCGTCGCCGCTACCGTGACCCCCTCCCCGCGTCTGCTGATCTATCAGGTTGCCCCTGGTGAGGTGTCCAAATCCCGACAGACGAAAGCCGCCATCGAGGACTGGATGTTAAGTCAGAGCCCACCATGTGGCCGGGATACAGTTGTGATTGCTCTCGGTGGAGGTGTGATTGGGGATTTGACGGGGTTTGTCGCTTCAACCTACATGCGCGGTGTCCGTTATGTGCAAGTTCCCACCACGTTGCTCGCCATGGTGGATTCCTCCATTGGTGGAAAGACAGCAATTGATACGCCGCTTGGGAAGAACCTGATCGGCTCGATTTGGCAGCCGACGAGGATTTACATCGACCTCGAATTTCTGGAGACGCTTCCCGCGCGCGAGTTCATCAACGGCATGGCGGAGGTGATTAAGACGGCAGCCATTTCGAGCGAGGAAGAATTCACCGCGTTGGAAGACAATGCGGAGGTGATTCTGTCTGCCGTTCGTCAGGAGGTCAAGCCTGGCCAGCGCCGCTTCCAGGGAATTGAAGACATCATGAAGGCTCGTATCCTGGCGTCTGCTCGGCACAAGGCTTACGTTGTGTCCGCGGACGAGCGTGAGGGTGGTCTACGCAACCTGCTGAACTGGGGTCACTCCATTGGTCATGCCATTGAGGCTATTTTGACCCCTCAAGTCCTCCATGGTGAGTGCGTCGCCATTGGTATGGTCAAAGAGGCCGAATTGGCCCGTCATCTGGGTATCCTGAAGGGTGTTGCGGTCGCTCGTATTGTCAAGTGTCTGTCCGCTTATGGTTTGCCCACGTCACTGAAGGATGCGCGCATCCGAAAGCTCACTGCTGGCAAACATTGCTCTGTCGAGCAGCTGCTCTTCAACATGGCCTTGGACAAGAAGAACGATGGGCCTAAGAAGAAGGTCGTCCTACTTTCAGCCATCGGACGCACTTACGAGCCCAAGGCCAGCGTCGTCCCGAATGAGGACATCAGTGTTGTCCTCGCCCCAAGCATCGAGGTGTATCCCGGTGTCGCCCCGGCATCGAATGTCGTCTGTACTCCCCCAGGATCGAAGAGCATTTCGAACCGGGCCTTGGTTCTGGCCGCTCTCGGATCGGGCACCTGCCGTATCAAGAACTTGCTCCACTCGGATGACACAGAAGTTATGTTGAATGCTTTGGAGCGACTGGGAGCTTGCACCTTCTCTTGGGAGGAGGAGGGTGAGGTCCTCGTGGTGAATGGCAAGGGAGGTGATCTCCAAGCGACCTCCACGCCGCTGTACCTGGGAAATGCGGGTACGGCGTCGCGCTTCCTCACGACAGCTGCTACCCTTGCTACACCCGGCGATGTGGACTACAACATTCTCACAGGCAACAACCGCATGAAACAGAGACCTATTGGCGACTTGGTTGATGCCCTCACGGCAAATGGTGCGTCGGTTGAGTACATGGAGAGTAAGGGCAGCCTGCCTTTGAAGATCGCTGCCTCCGGCGGGTTTGCTGGTGGCAGAATCAACCTTGCTGCCAAGGTTTCGTCGCAGTATGTGTCTTCGTTGCTCATGTGCGCGCCTTACGCCAAGGAGCCGGTCACCCTGAAGCTTGTGGGCGGAAAGCCCATTTCCCAGCCTTACATCGATATGACCACGGCGATGATGAGATCTTTCGGCATTGACGTGCAAAAGTCCAGCACTGAGGAGCACACCTACCACATCCCTCAGGGACGTTATGTCAACCCTGCTGAATACATGGTGGAAAGTGATGCCAGCTCGGCTACCTACCCTCTGGCCATTGCCGCCCTGACCGGCACCACTTGTACTGTTCCCAACATCGGTTCGAAGTCCCTCCAGGGTGACGCCCGCTTCGCAGTGGAAGTGTTGCGCCCTATGGGATGCACCGTTGAGCAAACGGATACTTCCACCACCGTCACGGGAGCTCCTGGAGGTGCTCTGCGACCGTTGCCTAACGTAGACATGGAACCCATGACTGATGCTTTCCTTGGAGCCTCGGTTCTGGCAGCAGTTGCTCGCGGCGAAGGATCAAACCACACCACGCGCATCTACGGTATCGCTAATCAGCGTGTGAAGGAGTGCAACCGCATCAAGGCTATGAAGGATGAACTTGCCAAGTTCGGTGTCGTCTGCCGCGAGCATGATGATGGACTTGAAATCGATGGAATTGATCGTTCGACTCTCCGACAGCCTGCTGGTGGTATCTTCTGCTATGATGACCATCGTGTGGCTTACAGTTTCAGCGTTCTCTCTCTTGTGACTCCCCAATCGACTCTGATCCTCGAGCGTGAGTGCGTTGGTAAAACCTGGCCCGGCTGGTGGGATACTCTGAAACAATTGTTCGGTGTGAAGCTTGAGGGTAAGGAGCTCAAGGAGGAAGAGGTCTCGGCTCTTACGCAAGTGGAGAAGTCCAGTGCGTCTGTCTTCATCATCGGCATGCGTGGCGCGGGAAAAACTACAAGTGGACATTGGTTTGCAAATACCCTGAACCGGCCATTCGTTGATTTGGATACCGAGCTTGAGAAGACGGAAGGCATGACGATCCCCGAGCTAATCAAGCAGCGCGGATGGCAGGGCTTCAGAGACGCCGAGCTCAAGCTTCTCCAGCGTACCTTGAAAGAACGCGCCACCGGATATGTCTTCGCTTGCGGTGGCGGCATTGTCGAGATCCCAGAGGCCAGAAAGTTGCTTACGGATTACCATAAGACCAAGGGTAATGTCCTGCTCATTCTGCGTGATATCAAGCAAGTCATGGACTTCCTCAATATTGACCGTACTCGTCCGGCCTATGTTGAAGATATGATGGGAGTGTGGTTGCGTCGCAAGCCCTGGTTCCAGGAATGCAGCAATTTGCAGTACTACAGTCAGACGGCGAGCGCTGGGGGTCTCGCCCGGGCATCGGAAGACTTCAAGCGCTTCTTGAAGACTGTTACCGGAGAGATCGACAGTCTCGACATCATGAAACGCAAGGAACACTCGTTCTTTGTCTCCCTCACTCTACCTGATCTCCGGTCGGCTAGTGACATCCTGAAAGAAGTCTGTGTCGGCTCTGATGCAGTGGAACTACGGGTTGATCTACTCCAGGATCCGGCCTCGGATGACGAGATTCCCTCAGTCGACTATGTGGCCGAGCAGATCTCGTTCCTTCGTAGTCAGATTTCCCTCCCTCTGATCTTCACTATCCGTACCAAGAGTCAAGGTGGTCGCTTCCCAGATAATGCCTACGATGAGGCTAGGGAGCTCTACCGTCTTGCGATTCGATCTGGGGCCGAGTTCGTGGACCTGGAGATCGCATTCCCTGACGATTTGCTGCGCTCGGTCACGGAGTCTAAAGGCTATTCCAAAATCATTGCCTCTCACCACGACCCTAAAGGAGAGCTCGCGTGGGGCAACATGTCCTGGATGAAATACTACAACCGCGCGCTTGAATATGGCGACGTGATCAAGCTCGTTGGTGTTGCCAAGAGCCTTGACGATAACACTGCTTTGAGGAAATTCAAGCAGTGGGCCGCCGAGGCACATGACGTTCCTGTGATTGCCATCAACATGGGTGACAATGGACAATTGAGCCGAATCTTAAACGGATTCATGACCCCCGTGTCTCACCCGAGTCTCCCATTCAAAGCTGCTCCCGGTCAGCTCTCTGCGACGGAGATCCGCAAGGGGCTGTCCCTGATGGGAGAAATCAAGCCTAAGAAGTTCGCACTTTTCGGCACTCCGATATCCCAGTCTCGCTCTCCGGCTCTTCACAACACGCTTTTTGCCCAGATGGGTCTCCCTCACGAGTACAGCCGTCTGGAGACGGCCAACGCTGAAGACGTCAAGGATTTCATCCGCTCTCCTGACTTCGGAGGCGCTTCAGTCACGATTCCTTTGAAGCTAGACATCATGCCCTTGCTGGACGAGATCGCCTCTGACGCTGAGATCATCGGCGCTGTGAACACCATTGTCCCTGTCTCGGCTGGCCAAGACAAGCCTAGTCGTCTGGTCGGTTACAACACGGATTGGCAGGGAATGACACTGTCTCTTCGCAACGCTGGCGTCTACGGTAGTAACGGGGAGGCTAGTGCCGTCGTCATTGGTGGAGGAGGCACGGCTCGCGCCGCCATCTACGCTCTTCACAACATGGGCTTCTCTCCTATTTACATTGTTGGACGGTCCCCGGCCAAGCTCGAAACTATGGTGTCCACGTTCCCTACAAGTTACAACATCCGAATCGTGGACTCAGCCGAGTCGCTAGACACGATCCCGAAGGTGGCGATTGGCACTATTCCCGCCGACAAGCCCATCGACATCGGCATGCGCGAGATCCTCTGCCACATGTTCGCACGTGCCCAGGAGGCTGATGCTGACATTGCCAAGGCCATGGAGAAGGTCCCCCGGGTGCTCCTCGAGATGGCCTACAAGCCTGCTGTGACGACCCTGATGCAGTTGGCGTCCGACGCAGGTTGGCACACTGTCCCCGGCCTGGAGGTTCTTGTTGGCCAAGGCTGGTACCAGGTATGACCGACCACAAGGAGGTCCCATTTCTGTCTGTATACACCGAGGCTAACTTTGAATGTGTGTGCTTAGTTCCAACGCTGGACCGGTATCTCGCCACTCTACCAGAATGCAAGGGTAAGTTGTGGGCTACGCGCCATCGGAGCTGAAAACAAAGGCACAGCGTAGCTGACACACGATAATAGGAAGCCGTGATTGGATCGCCCAGTGCCGAATCTGCATGAAGCTGTCTGTCTCAGCACCGGACAGTTGGGTTGAGGGAACGATAGGGCGTCGCATTTCCCCGGAAACCTAGTGGATCTTACTCAAAAGAAAATCCTGTCCGCATTCGTGTTTTTGTCGAAATCCATTACAGCTTGATCACCCGTAGATGATAGTAATAGATCCATGACCAAGTTCAGTCTGTCACATGGTGGCCAACAAAGGGCCCTTTACTACATCCTCGTAACGCTAAAGAAGCACACCGTGTGGCGGTTCTGGTCTAGTCGTTAATTGTTCTCTTCTGTCGAGGCTTGCTGCGCCCATCTCCCCATCAGCGTGAGTCGGACTTGAGAAGGGGTTAATGACATGAGTCACGTTGACACCTTTGCAATGAAAGGTCACGAGACGACCATCGTGACAAATTGGTTGACCGGTTCTAAGACCCAGTGGTCTACCAAGCAACCACAGCGAGACAAGTCGAATCCGGCCGGAACTTATATTGACCCCCCGACAAGAAGCGGGGTAAGAAGATCGAATTACACTTACGCGTAGGACCTGTAGATGGTACGAGTAAATTACTCGGTAAGTCAGTCTTATGCTGAAAGGGCACCGCACCACCGACCTCCTCAACACGTGTCCTTGCATATTTTGCAATGGATTTCCACAACTAAGAGCTTATGTTGGAGACAATTCGTGCAGCATGATAATGACCTTGTAGTATGTACAATACATAGTCATCTTGAGTAGTTAGTATGGGGGGACCGAGAGGGAGAAAAAAAGAAAAACATGCGTACTATTAATAGCACACATCCGTTGTCTACTTCGTAAGTCCGTAAAGTAACTACTGTTGATACGGACTCGTACCCGGTACTACGGAGTATGTCTAAGATCAGATGACCATCCTACTCGACTAATTCTTTCCAGTGTTTGATCTCCGTGGAAAAAAAACCCGATCAGAGCCTGGATGGCGTGCGAGGAGATAGTCTTGAAAACTCTCTTGCTGAATATGCTAGAGCGATCAACAATACCCCAATATCTGACTCCCTGCACCAGGAAGTCCAGACTTGGAGAGGTGCAGAGTCTAGACGTTGAAGGGACAGAGAAGGTCCGTCCGTCCGGTCGCGCGGGTCAAAATCTAGACCGCGATGGATTTGGGCTGCGGTCGGAGTCCAGACCCTCAACGCTCGGTTCGTTCGGATGAGATGCATGATCTGATTCTTGTTTGTTGACATTTTCTTTTTCGAGAGCGTCGTTTTTGTCTAGGCGCCTTTTCCTGGTGTGAGAGGGTGGTCTAGATTGTGTGGGTTGTGGTTAGGTGAATGTCCTCGTGAGTAAGTGAGCAACTGGGAAAGTGGGTTAGTTTGTGTATGTGTGTGCGCTATGCAAGTGTCGTTTGTCTGGAACCATGAGTAGGAATAGCAGGAGGAAATTGCTGTCAGACATTGTCTGAAATTCATTACGTGCAGGTAACTATTTTAAAAAGTCGTTCAGGGTGAGAAGAACGAGGTTCCATTTAGCCTCTGCGGTTGATGTATGTGCTCCGTACAGTTAACGGGCGAGTTTATCAACGCCACCACCACATACTTTAAACCTGACTTTATCTGATTGCGACCGTTCTTGCGAGAACAATGGGCAAGACCTATAACTCGGATATTATCGACTAATATTAGTATGTATAAGGCCAATAGGAAAGAGCAGCCCTCTCCGATAGGGACGACAAGGGATCCGAAAGTCAGATTCTGAGCAATGGCGGAGATTCAGTCCCATTCCTCGGGGAAGACATCTCCGTTGCGTGAAGACTTGTCACTCGCTGTACAAGATCTGAATCGGTTTGGGGTTGTCTCGCTTCGTGTTCGACCTTGAATGAGGAATAACCATTGTCTTGCTTGATCTGAATCATATCTGACAATTGTTGTCGTGTCAGCTGAAACATTATTCTCCACCTGATGCGTATGAAGTATGTATGCACTACTCCGGACTAATGTAGGTATGGAAAGGCACTATGCCGCTTGATAGACTTAGCAGTTCTGGTTCGGTCGGTCGCTCGGTCGAGAACGTCTCTGCCGGTGAACTGTACGGCTAAAGATCAACTACACTTGAACTCTGGCATATTACTCCGCCCCAAAGTGAAGGCCAGATGCCACTTAGGAAAAAAAAAATGTTCGTCTTTCTTGAGTATTGTACTATGCTGGTAGGTTAGTTGGTTTTGGGGGGTTGGTTGTTCCCTCCTCTCTAGCACATCGGCAAGGAACCGCGTGCCGCGATGCCAAAGATGGGGGGACAGGGGGGTAACCCTTGGTCTTGATCTACCGGGCCGATGATGACCCAACGACTACGTGATACCACCGATTGACTTTTGACAGGGACATTGGTACTCGGGGAGAGGGGGAGAGGACAACTCCGGCTCAAGGGAAATAGTTTCCCAATCACTAGGTCTTCAAGAGAAACGTCATTTACAAGCATATTCCTCGTAACCCAAACTCTATGTAGTGCGCGAGATGCTGTTAGATTGTGAGCCGGGAACCCGCGAGTATCCGGCACAAAAGTTTCTTCGCATCGCATAATGATGACTCGATATGCTCGGAAATATTTTTCGTACTCCGTCGACGAAGAAGGCTTAGATCCTGCTGTTACTGCTGCAGCTGAAGGATTCCTCCTCGGAGCTAGCAGAGTTTTTCTCTTCCAAAGTCGCTACTAGCGGACTGAGAAGAGGTCCTCGGAAATGCTTCATCGATCTATACCTGGCGATGCAAGATACAGACCGTGACGGTTTTCTTTCCGGTATGGGCCGAGCTCCCAGCCAATGGACACTGCAGGAGACTAGACTGCATGGGAGGGCAGGGCCACGCTCACTCTAGTAGACACTAGACTTAAAGAGGAATTTTTTCAGCTGCACGGACCCCGATTCAGCCATCGTGGCCCAATTTTAGCAGGTTTCTGGAAAGACACCAGAAAAACTTTAAGCGCGCGCCGGAGGGGCCGACTTTCCACTAACCCGGTTCTGGGATGGAGTAGAAAACCCGCCAGCCAGGTTACCATCTGTAAGAACCGAAGCCCTCGGAAGGAGGAGGTTTGCGGGTACTGTACAGTACGGTGTACGGTAGTCCGTCAGGCTCCAAACGTACACCTCAGGCCGCCGCTAGCTGTCCCCCGTTTAGGTAGGGCATTATTCAGCATCAGCATCGATCCAATTGCTGTGAGTCTGTGACTCGAATCCACTTCTAGGGACAATCATTTTCCTTACCCACGGAGATCGGCACCATCCCCCCCTCCTCCCTATCCCTTACCGAAGCCCCACGAATAAGCTGCCATTTCATCGGTGGCTGTGGCTGTGTTAGTTGCATGACCAATCATGCTTCCCACCCTCTCCTTATTTCTGCAGGGGTGTGCCAAAATTCCTCAATGAGGGACGATGAAGGAAAAAAATCTCTGCTTCTCTGCATTAGCGCGGTGTCCGTTCGCCCTACTGGGCATCGAACTGCTGTCGGAATCGGAACAAGGAAAACATGTGGCAGCACCGATGAAGCATAAGGTGCTGACTCCTGGGATCAAACCACACCAATGAGAATCTATGGTCCCCTTTCAGAGACCCCTTTCAACAGGAATTTCATGTTTTGGTACTGTTACTGTTTTGTAATTTTGAGTTTGGCTTCCATGCGCTTGTTTACCTGTCGCGGACTTGCAAGCAATGCGCATGGGAACTTTCTTGGTCGGTCACAGAAATTTTGACTTTTGCTCTGACTTTCGGGTCCTCTGCCCGGCAACAACGTGGGCTCATTTTGGATGGCATGACGGGTAAGTAGGACTTTATAGTTTTGATGCCACTTTAGACTCTCGTGCAAAGTCCCCGAATTGGGGGTTTAGGGGATTGGGTGGTTTTGTGGCTTGCAGCCGCTATGTTGGACCATGTACTGCACCGACTACACTAAACCGAGTAACGTATCTACTCACGGGCTTCCTTTTCCCCAGAGAGGCGAGCAAACCCGATGGCATGTACCGCCCGACCACTGGTACCCCTTCTCCAGACTCGGCGGGTCCAATCCACCCTCCTCGTTGTCCAGATTCAGCACTGTGCACTTTTCAGCCTGGGCTGCAAAGGATCCGTCTGAATACGATCGGAATTGTTCCCTTTCCTGGAAACTCCGCTTGTGGTTTGACAGCTAGATTACGCGGCGGGAGGTGAAGGTGTGTTGCTATGTACAATGAGGAGCTGAGCCCCAGGCAGACGGGTTCCCTGCTCGATGAATGGCTTTTTTCATGAAGGAAGACATGCCGGTGCTCGCAGTGGGAGAGCTATGTTGCCACCGCAGTTCAGGTGTCCCGGTACTCTGTAACATGCTTGTGGGTCAAATGATTGGCTCCGTGCCCCGGGGAATGTGAAATTTGGACGAGCAAAGCTCTCTGACAGCAGTGGCAGGCTGGAAGCAGCAGCAATTGGACGTGCTTGGAAGCATAAGTGGAGCCGGACGGCTTTGACTCTAATCTGTAGTGGCTTCAAGGATGCACGAATCAGATTGCAAGACTGGTAAGCGATGTCCTACAGCAAGACTGCCGATGTGGAGCGATGTCTTGGTTCTCGCATCAGTTTATGGGGCTGCCATGAGTTGGAAACAGAGAGATAGGCGTAGAGAGAACGGACGAGATGCAGTTCCCCAAAGGCTACGCGGAGATGTGTCCACTTCCATGCTTTCTTTATTGGTTGCTGAAAATACTCGGAGTCTTCAAAGAGCATGTGAATATCAACCCACCGCGAGAGGCCTATTGAGGGTTGAGTGAGGAACAGCTAATCTGTGCGCCACATCATGTCATGTCACCTCATTCTCTCAATGCACCTGACAACAAGTCAGGGTCAACCTGGCTTCTGTCTATGTCTCATCATGAATTGTATGTTTATAATCGTACGACATCCACAGCAATGTGGTACAGGATTCTTTTTACAAGAAGCGTTCATGACTCATATGTAGAAAGCATTGAAAAAGTGAGCCCTGGACATTGTGGCTTATCTCCGGGAGACCGATAAAGATCGGGATTCATCGTGACTACCTCTATTTGACTAGCATCAGTACCGTACCACGGTTTTCGAACACAGTTGATACTATCGGACAATGGTCTAAGAGAAATCAACTAAGAAAGAAAAGCTGTCAGCTGACCCTATCACGCTTCAAAAGTTGTAAGATGTGATGTTGCATAGTCCGAGTCTGCATCGCACCGGCCGAGAAAAGGGCAAGCTCGGCTCAGAGGTGCCGTAAGAATCAGGCTACTAGCGCAGCAGGGCGAGAGACCCGAGGCCGGGGTAAGCGTGTAACTAATCAAGTTGACTGCAGGTTACTATTATTTAGCTAGGCCATAGGCCGGCTGCGGCCTGGTTTTGGTCCGAGTCTCCGCCGAGCTGCATAACGCAACTCAACTTTTCAAAAGACAGACCGAAGAGGATGGAATGCTCGTCTCAATCATTATAAATTGTGCATTAGCGAGCATGAATAGAATGCAGTAGCGCCCATTGGAAAGCGCTTTGATGACGGAGATCGTATCCCCGGTCAAGTCCGCTCCGTGGAGTCTTGACTAGTTTACTCCGGCTGACTCTTGAAAGAACTAGAGGCCACCTCTCAGTGCTAGTCAATTAACTAACAATGACTAATAGTTGATGACTAACTAGTCAGAGAGCCAGCCACAGAATATGTGGCGCAGCTAACGTGTGGCTCTCACAGAGCCCTCGTTGCGAATCACTACTACCTTAGTCATAATACTAGTTGTATATCCAAGTGGAGATCAATCATTCCATCGGGCATCTACCTGCTGGTTGCACCAGCCAGGCAAGGCGCCAGTGAAAAAAATGATGGATGTTCGCCCATTGACATGCGCTGTAATCTTCATCTGTCGAACATGTCATCTGTAAGGGTCCGCCCAAAAGAGTACACGAGATCGGATCGTCCACGGCATTCTTTTTTGTCTCTAAGGAATGCTTGTGGCTTAGCTAGAATTTCTGGAGCGATGATTGGCTGCCCTAGGGTGCTATTATCAGGCGCAAGACCAAAAAATTTGGAACAGACATACTATTGTTCCCTAAGCTAGCCGAAGAGGTGGGTGGAAAAATCCTCCATGATTGTCTCTGTCTTTGTCGCACTAATAGCCTGAGTCAGTGTTAATCATTCACTAGAGCGTGAATTCTAGTATGATCTGGACTCTCCCTGAAAGAGGGATCCGGTCACCCGGTCTAGCTTCGCTGTCGTGGACTTGACAGTTAATTGTGGCTTGTATCCCATACTACTCCGTAAGGAGCGTGAGTCGTGGGAAAATGAGAAAACTTTGGGTCGACTGGGGGTGGGAACTTTGCCTAAGGCCGGACTGGCCAGCAAGTTCCCCCGGACAGCCATGCAGATCGAGTCCACTGCAGGTCCGCAGCCAAGTGGATGCTTTCGTTTCGGCCGCATAACCATACGGTTGCGTAAATTTACCATACACTAATACCAGACCCAATCCTAAGGATCGGCGGACGGCCAGGTTAAGCGTGGGAAAGGATGACTGTCGGTGATTGCCGAATGTAGTTTCTACCTTAGTATCGGTCCTCCCTCTCTGCAGGGCTAAACGTCATCTCATACATAAGGAATGATGGAGTCCCCTCCACATCACCCCCCCCCCCCCCTCCAGCTGTGAACATTATTCATTACCCATCCACCCCCATCTTATATATCAATTCCACTTCGCCTCCCATATCTCCCTCTGATTTTCAACTTTGATCTCTATTCTCTCAATTACCTTATCATCTATACAATACACTCATCAAACAACCCACTTCTCCCTCTACTCATACATAGTAAGTCTATCCACATACTTACATCGACTCCTTCTCTCGCTACTTCTTCTCTCATACTACCTACCCTACCATTTGCCCTGGTTCTCGCATCATTGGATCAGATTCAATTAACCAGTCAATTTGTGAACCTTAGTACTCTCATAACCGCGGTACTCCACTTGGCTGAGCCTCTCGATCCGATTCTCTCAGCCTGAACAGTCTCCCTCTGCCCGACGTTTCCAGACGCTTCGACTTATTAAACACATCTAGTTTGACTCCGGGGACCCCCCCCCTTCAAACTCTCTGTCTCCGATTCTCCGGTTGCAACTGTTCAGCAAGCCTTTTCTAAACTTCGATCTTGGCCCCTTTGAGACTTTTGGGGGCCGTTGTGCCAACTTATCTTCACTAAACTCTCGATTTTCTCTGGGTGGCAAATCCACTGTCTCCAGTCGGCGTCATATCAAGTCTGACGTCTGATTTCGACACAAGCAACATTATGTTCATGCACCCTGCCGTACGTAAGGGTTTTATCACTGAACCAACTTCTGTCCCGTTCTTCAACCACCAGGATCCCATTTGCATACAAGACGACCAACTCCTACCTGAATATTCACACGAGGCCCTGTATCACCAGCCACGACTTCAGACCCCTTTCCAATATCACCCAGACTTGCAGTTCGTTTCTCCGCCGTCTTCCGCCCCATCCTCTCCCACCTCCTCTCCCGCCTCGATCATTTCCCACTACCCAACCACGGCGGTGGCCGCGGATTACTCTTCTGCTGTCTTCGACAGCAACTCCTTCGAGGCACCTTCGATGACCCCTTCCTCCTCATATAACCCCACGATCAGCTACCAACCTTCGGCCTCACCACAATCCTCCCAGCCCTACTTCTACCAACCATACTACGACGATAACGCCCAAATGCTGGCGCAACATTCCGCCCCGAACAACCACGGGTGGGATGGGAACCTGCAGTTGCTGAACGCTGCTCGCATTCAAAATAACCTATCGCGCATGTCCCAGTACAATAATGACTCGCATTTGAAAGTCGCTTCCAGTCCCTCCAGCCGATCAGCGCCGGCCGGCAGCTCCTATCAGAGGCTCAACGGCCAGTCGAAGCCACTTCCCACCCCATCTCAGACTCCAGTGCAGAACTCGCTTCTTGCAAGTTCATTCCAGGACGGTAGTTCAGCTGACGCAGAAGCCGCTATGAGGCGGGCTGTTATGGAGCAACAGCAGAAGCAGCAGCAGCAGCAGCAGCAGCAGCAATACCAGCCTCGCCACCAGCACCAGTCCAGCGATTATTCAGTGTCGACTGTGAGCCAGAACTCCCCAGTCACTCCGCAGACAGGCTTCGATGAACTCGACGAGTCATCGAAGACCACCAATGGTGAGAAACGCTTTGTTGATGTGGACAAGTGGATGGACGATTACTTACATCTCGATTCACTTTCAGACTTCGTCCATCAAACTCCGAACACGTTGACAATTGGCATTCCCAAGCTGAACCGGACCATCTCTGATATTTACCAAGATGAGCTGTACAACCCGGCTTTGATGCCTACGCCACAGGTCCCCAAGCAGCCCACTAATCAGCAAAATATGCTTGCTCCGGCATACCACAGCACCATTGCTGATAGACTGCAGGCTGCGAATCAGGGTCACCTGTCTGCGCGGTCACAGTCTCCTATGGGAAGCCTGCAGCGAGATCGCTCTCCTTTCCGACAGAACTCTCCAATGGCTGCGGAGTACAATAGCGCTGCTTTGCATCACCCTCAAATGGCGACCAGTGTGCCTGGACCACAAAATGGTGTGAGCATGGCCTCGTCATCGCAGAACGAGCCGAAAACGATGTCTCCCAAGGATGCACTGTTGGATTACCATGAGGGCGATGACTCTGATCTGCACGCACCTGGAATGCCGCTGTTTCCCCCCTCATCCCAGCCCGATTTCAATCTGGGCGATGCGCTGAGTGGATTGCGTCGCGAAAGCTCTTCCTCTTACCAACCCACCCAGAACTTCACTTCCATGGAGGCTTTCCCCGCACAATATGCCACTCATGTGTCTGGGCAGCAATATCCTTTTGGCCAACAGCAGCAGAATTCCCACCAGCAACAGTCTAAACAGAACAGCCTCCTTCATCAGACTCCTGAGTTCCCTGCCTCACTGCCACGATTTGAGTCCACTGGCAGCGAAATTCTTCCTACGACCGAGTTGACATCTCCTCGTGGACAGCCAAGAATGGCCATCCAGCCTGTCAAGGCGGAAATTGCTCGACCTGACAACACCTCGTCTGACAGTGGGACCTACACCTGCACCTATCACGGTTGCACTCTACGGTTCGAAACGCCCGCTAAGCTACAGAAGCACAAGCGTGAGGCGCATCGCCAGACCACTCCTGGTGGGCACCTTGCCGGGCGCGACAATTCGGCCCGGAACTCTCAGGCGGGTCCTCACAAGTGTGAACGCATCAACCCCTCTACGGGCAAGCCGTGCAACTCGATATTCTCTCGTCCCTACGATTTGACCCGCCACGAGGATACGATCCACAACGCTCGCAAGCAGAAGGTTCGGTGTCACTTGTGCACGGAAGAGAAGACCTTTTCTCGCAATGATGCGCTCACCCGGCACATGCGCGTGGTGCACCCTGAGGTCGACTGGCCCGGCAAGCAGCGTCGGAGAGGCAGGGAGTAAAGCTCCAGTGGATCTCTGTCTCTACGGCGCTAGTGAATATGGTTCAAACCCCACGATCGTGACAAGCAGCAACAAATCCCCTATCTGGGAAGGGGGTGCGAGTGTTCCACCGTTCGGAACAGTCAGTGAGTCTATATGACGCTACAAAGCCTTCGACGTCATGGACTAGTCCCGAACGGGTAACGACTCGCTAACGGGTCCGGATCGACGGAACGGACTTCCGCTTTGAGCGACAGCCCTTGAGGCCTCGCAGCCTGAAGCATCAGCCATGACATCACCGGCTCCCGATCTGGACGGGTATACCGCGAGGTAAACCCATCCAATTGTTCTTTTCTATCTATCGCTTTCAGCCCTCTGATGACGTACATGCTCTTTCTTTCTGTATTCATGAGCCAGCCTTTTGTATTTTTCTGCTGCATCTTTTAGATTTCTGTTCATTATCATTGGGTCCAAGGGGGATACGGTCGCATTAAAAGAAGCACTTTGTTCATATGGGATGATGATGATACTGTGATTATACTTGTGACGCTTTGCGCAGCTGGATCTGTTCAATACTTTTTCTCTTTGAGAGGGATTCAAATCCTTCAACCATGCTATGTACTATAACTTGACAGTGTACGATTGATTACGTTATGATGTGTCGCATGTGCTCTGTTACTGCTTACGATGTTTTTTTTTTTTTTTTTTTTT